GCAAAAGAAATTAAATTTATATATATATATATATATATATATTTTGTTGGAAAATGTTGCTAATGAACCCTTCAACATATGAATGCTAGAAGAAAGATCGAAATAAAAATGTGTATTTAATTGGTAACTTTTTATTTAATATTTTGCATTGAATCGTAATATAGATAAATGTTTTGTGATATGAAAAGTTTGTTTACCTGTGCTTTAAAATTAATTTGAAATGAAATATTATTTTAAATTTTTATTTAAATAGTATTTTGATTTAATATTTTTTAAAATAAATAATATATTTTTATTAAAAATTAAATAATGTTGATTTAGGTTAGAAATCACAAAAAATCAAACCAAATTATTTATCTATTTTTTTTTTCCGTTGTAATCTAACAATTTCTCACGACAAATAATGCATGTATAATTACTCTGGCTATATTCTTCTAGAAATAGATTATAATATTTGATTGTGCAATCATGGTAATTTTGTATAAAAAGAGATATATATATATATATTTATTGAAATTTGGCTCAATTCAAGACTTGCGATCCGAGCCCAATTCGCAATCCAAACCCTTTAATCCGGATCCAATTTGTAAACCCGCTCCATATAAAACCTTTTTTTTCCTCAAATCGATTCATTTTGTATGGTATGTGATTTCTCTTCTTTTTCTACTTCGCATTCAATTCTTTGTGGGTTTTGGGGGATTCGGTGTTAGTTTCAGCCATTTTCTCTCGTCAAAATCTCTGGTGAGTTTTCCTTCTTTGTGCGCTAAGTGTTAGGGGGTTTGATCGGGTGTGTAGAGTTAGGTTTCGGTTGCTTAATCCGTCGGTTTGAGGTTTGTTTGGAGGCTGTTGGTAATCGCTATTGTAATTCATTCACCGCCGAAGAGGGTTATAGACTGAGACAATTCTCTACTAATTTGACCATATCATTTACTCGAGGGTTGCTCCCGTAGGGATGCATTACAACCAAATGACTATTTTCGCCTAGTTGAATCGCATAAGATTTTCCCGGAAAATTTTACCAATACACAATGAACCTACACTCACAAACAAACATTAAGTAATCATGCACTCACGAGCAAACATTAGTTTTGCGCACAACTAATATCTCATTCTAAAAAAGAGACAACTTAATGCAAAAATAGGCAACAAACAAACACCGTCTCAAAAAAATAATCACGGAGTTTACTAGATTACAAAACTTACATATGTCATCACACCACTCATAAAACATAGCGAACGCTTTTATTAAATTATCGTATCACATGCTTGAACACCCAAAAACACAAAGACAAGCATATATTACACTCAGGAATTCGACATTGATCACAAAGAAACTAAAAATATAGGTCTGCACATATTATCATACAGAGATACAATATTATCACATAGCCTAAGCAAAATTTATCACAAAACTTAGCAGACTAACATACAGTTAGACAAACACTCAAATATTCTCGGGATAATAACAACTGAGAATTTTTACTTAGTCTAGGACAAAATCATAAAGGACAAAAAATCAGTTCATTATACCTCATTAACAACTGATTTAAGCCACGCAGCAACAAAAAAACACATGCCATTATTCACATAAAAAGAAAATGTATAACTATTTTTCAGCACAACATAAAAAGAACAATGGCAATCACACTCGAGGACAATTTTTACAAATAGTATACCCACAACACTTATTCGAAGAAAACAAATCCTATATCTCACACCAACATATAAAAAGAAGAAAATTTCAGCATATGGATCACAAAGATTTTTACAACACTTAATATATTGAAAGAAAAAATTTTCAACACTATTTTTTCCAAAACAAAAGGTCATTATGTCTACAAAATAATTTTATTTACAATCACAACTATGGGAACGGACAGATCACACGTAGAAAAACTAATATAGACATATCAAAACATAAAAAACAACCCCTAAAGATAAACTACTAGAAACTATAATACATGCTTTAAACTCAATTATTCGACTAGAATTTGTCTTATTAAGAAATTTCTTAATCTAGTTATATGCTCCACCACGGACCAAACAAGATATAGACATAGACCTATTCATCATCTTAAATTTTCGTACTTTTATAGGACAAGGATTTATTTTCAACATTGTTGCTATTATGATTATTACTTTAGGTGTTCTACCCCTTAAGTACTTTACAATACTACATATTTTTAAATCAACTAATTCGGTTGTAAATTTTGTGTTGATATAATCAAGTCAATATGATGTTGATTTCACCAGGTCAGCATATATTATATGGGTAACTAATATATGTATATGCATATTTTAACATTTGTTGTGTTATAAGATAGTATATGATGAGTTATAATATAATATACTACTGTAGTTATAAATATGCTAAAATATGTTAAATATATGTTGGTAGTCTCTGTAACATATGCTAATCTGGTCAAATCAGCATCATGCTGACTTGATCGGATTAACAACTAATCCATGTCCAATTGGTTCTATACTCAATCTAATTTCTATATTTTCACTTTATGCTTCCAAGAGAGAAAATTGATTTTTCCATTTAAAAAACAAATTCAAATTAACACGATCAATAAGTGCTTATATTGCTGCCTATTCAAAAACAGATTTAAAAAATATTCTGAAAAATTTTGTATATATAAAAACAGCAGCTTCCAATCACTAAGAGTCATTACACCAACGAAAAACATACTAATCACACAAAATAAAAAATTCTCTCGACACACAATTCATTTAGAATAAAAATGGGCGCATATACAACATAATCCAACAAAACAAATCAAACACAAAGATTCATAAAATATATGTTTCTTTGCATGGCTATGCAAAACTACAACACATTACTTGTTTGATTATTTTTATAATTATAATTTAATAAAAATATATACAACATATATTATTTTGTAGAGAATAAATTTTTATATTATATAAATAAATAAAAAATATAATTATTTATTTATGATTAACATAAATAAATTGCATCAAATCAATACACATTAAAACATCAAATATCAAAATCAAATATACAAATATAAAGGAATACAGAATCTTTAAATTCAAATTTGTTTCAAACTAAAACTCAAATTTCCAAAGCTTTCTCAAAGAAACACACCCTAGTACATATATCATTTTAGAATTTAAGTAAATTTTATATAGAATTACATGATGACACGTTCCATATGGACGAGCCACGTAACAATTAATTTGTTCATTCAGTATTTTTCATTGGAAATTCCCTATAAATATTATTAAAAAAAATACAAATTTACACACAGTAATATAATATAATATGTACATTATTCATTCATAAAAAAATCAATTATTCAATACAAAATATTATTTTTTATATTACTATGTTGGGATTCTCGATCTTTCTGAACGTTGGGTGATTTGCACAAATTCTCAATCAAATAATTAGTGCGGATAAAAATGATGATTAAGAATGTGAACAGAAATATATGTTAAGAATTGAAAAGAAAGATAGATCAATCGGTAGTGTAGGCTCAGATCGCAGCCACTCCTTCGTCAACTCCAAGTCGTCCTACGAGGTAACCCACAAAGGTGTCGATTGCGGTGGTTCTTAACACGAAGTAACCTAAGAACCCTATAGTGTTCCTCGCACACTCAGTATCAGGACGAAAAATAACAAGAGAAGTCGATAGACTAAGGCAGTAGATTCGTCGCTCACATAACAGAGAACTGAATAGCGAACTCGTCACACCACGCTCCCAAAATCCCAAACCCATATATATAGAGAAGAGGCGGATGGATAGAACCCAAAATAGGAGGGAACAACCTTACCTTATCAACACCCAATGGCTGACTCGATCAATCTCGAAGAAATAGGGATAGCACCGTGACTGACTTAACGGATGAGAGACCGATTCAAACGATCGAACAAAATGGGGAGAGATCGGTTTGATTTGAGGGGATAAAAAACAAACCGGGTCGTTTCTGGATCGGGTCGGAGAGGGTCGGGTCGAATATGTGTTTGGGTGTGGGTTGACGCAGAAACACATCAACATACTAACATAGTTTTTCATACTAAAAAAAAAAAAAAATCAATTCATCTAAAGACGCTGAATGAACATACTGAATACTTCTAATTTAATATTGATGTTGATTTAATTTATATATATATATATAAATGTATGAATATATATATTTTTGTAATAAGTACACAAAATTAATTCTACGTTAATATTTAGTGTTAAAAATTATTATATGACTAATTCATATCGACTCGGAGGTGTTACGTAACACACAACAATATTTCAACACCAAATAATTTTTCCAATGAATACAAATTAAACATAAAACTATACAAATTTTACTTATAATTATTTTTAAACAAATTGCACTTAAAATAACCAAATGATAATAGATGCTATGTATGCAACTAAAATACATACTTTTGTTTGGAGGTTTGGATTTTAAGTTGAGATTTGAATAGTAAAAATTTTGAATTTGAATAGTTGTGTGATGTGATATAAATATGTGTTGATGTGATATTTTGAATGTAAAATTGATTTTTAGTATAATATAAAAAATGAAAAATAGGTATTTAATTTGATGTTTTTGGAAAAAAATGGAATAAATAGTGAAATTAAAATCCAATCCTCCAAACAAACACAATCGAGTCTCTCTCTCTCTATATATATATATATATATATATATAAACTTTCAAACATATTTAAAAACAATCATAAATTTTCCCCAAATATTTATTCAATAATAACCAAAACTAAAGTTTAGTCAAGAGCAAATGTGACAAAAGAAACAAAAGGTGAAAGAAATTCCATTGATATGATGGCATTAGGTCACCCAAAAGATGCCAATACACAATAATAATTCTCACATCCCTTCAACTAATTTCTTGTCTTTATCTTTTCCTTTGGAAAAGTTAAGGATTTTCACATGAAAGTACTCCAAATCTATCGTGTGAATAAGACTATAGATAACCTTAAAACTACTTATACTATTTCTTGACACAAGTGAGTCTTCTTTTTCTAAGATAAATAAGTCAACGGAAAATCCGCGCGTAAAAAGTCCTCATAGAGAAAGAAGTTCGACGAGACATTACCATCGTTGTCATAATAGGACAACATCGGCGCTTCTTGCACGACTTCTTCATGCTTGTATTGGGCGACCCTTTGATTATATATTAGCTCGTATAGTTCGGAATTTTGGAATTGCATCTTTATTACTTCTGCCTGCGCTTTTGCCAGTTCGGCTTGTAATTTGTTTATTTGTTTCTGGAGCTGGCTTATGACCCCCGCACATCCGTATACGGGATCCCTTAATCTTGCATTCGCTTCGTATACCATACTGTTCACTGCATCTTCCCTTTGATTTTCCGGGAGCTCCTGAAATCATATTTATGAGTATTGACATATATTGAAGTAGCGTACTTAATTCACGTATATAATTGATAGCAATACTTATAATAATGGTGCGTTTGTTTTGTGTTTTGATGTGATTTTTTTTATTTTTACGTAAAATATAGAGAATTGTATAGTTAATATAAAAGTAACAAGAATATATATAGTATATTAAAATTTTTAGAAAAATATATGTACATTTTTGTTAAAGAAACAACACTTATGTCTTTATAGAAAGTATACTGGATGTGTTTGGTTTGTGTTTCAAATACAAATTACGATTTTGGATAAAATATATAATTTTTTAAAAAATATTATATTAAAATGATATTTTAAAAAAAAAAAACAGTTGCAAATAAGAACAAACAAATCCATTATATTATAATAAATCAAATTAAATGTATTATTATATATACATTAATTCCTAAATTTTAATGGAAATAATTTGGGTAGCTTTTGTATAAATAATTAGGTGGCCTACATGTATTGACCTTTGCCTAAGCATGGAAATGTTATAGTGAGAGAGGAGACAATTAAAGTCAAGAAAGATGAGTAACAAATAAAAGTAAAATTTTAAAAATGAATAAATATTTATATGATATAAATATATATTGTATATTATATTTTTAATAAAAAAATAAAATTTTGAATGATTTTAAAATAAAATATATAAAATAAAATACCTGTTTTTAGGAGATGGATTTACTTAATAATTTAAAAAGATATTAAAGGCATAAGTAAAATTATACTTATAGAGTGTATAAGGGAATATTAAATTATTTTTTTCATAAAATATTTAAATATTTATATTATTTTAAAAAAATTCAAATTTTCTATATGAAATGGGAGACATATATATATTTTTTTATTAAAAATGACCTGCAGTAATTTGATGATATTGCTGGCTCCAAAAACCCTATGTGCGTTGGAGAACTTCAGCGGCTCCGCCGGCGGGAAGTACGGCGCCAACGCACATTTCTCCACGCACCGCCGCCGGAGAATCCTGCAGGCGGCGCAAGGGCTGAAAATCACCGCCGCCGGTGGTGGTGCTGGTAATTGTGGCGGTGGAGACGATGATGGCGTCGGAGACAGGCAGCAGAACTGAGATCCCGCCGCCGCCGCCGCTGCATTGTTGGCGGCGGCAATGGCGGCCGGGGTTTCTGGGTAGGCCATTGGTAGTGGGATAGTCGGTGAGTTAAGAAACTTGGGTAATTTATAGCTATTATTATTATTATTGTTATAATTATTATTATTATTATTATTATTATTATTATTATTAGATAATCAAGGAACTTTTATTATTAGTACTATTATTATTATTGTTATGTACTGTACCTGTTGCGTTGAGTCAATATGGTACATGCACGAGGAGAGTGAGGTATACAATGACGTCATCCACACGTCATCTTTCTACTAGATTTTCCACGACCGTGTCTAACGGGCGCGTGCTCACATTTAGGATCCACCACCTCGGGTGTCTTCGTTTTGAGGATTGGATTTTATTCATTTCAATTTTTTTAAAAAAATATTAAATTAAATACTTATTTTTTTATTTTTTATATTATTACTAAAAAATTAATTTTATATTTAAAATATCACATCAGTACCTATTTATATCACATCATACAATTATTCAAATTCAAAATTTTTACTATTCAAATTGTAACTCAAAATCCAAACTCCCAAACAAATACACCGGAAAAGGAAAGTGGATATTGTGTTGATCCGACTAAGTGATTGTAATATTGATTTGAGATTAACATTTCTTATATAAATAATGATCATCATATATTTATATATTTTTAATATATAATATATTATAAAATATCATATATTATATTATAATATAATAATTAAAATATGAATAAATATATACTAATAAGTCATATGACATTGACTAGACTTGACCAGAGGATTCATACCCAACAACAAGACTTGTATAATAGGGGTTTGTTTCATTATTATTTCAAATCAAAATTAATATTATTCATTCATATAATTTTTAATAAAAATATATTTTTTTTCAAAATATCAAATCAAAATATAATTTAAACAAAAATTGAATTTAGCACCAGATTTCAAATTAATTTTAAACCATAATCAAGCAAACCCAAGATTAATAAATATATACTCTCCCTCAATCCCGGTCCAAATGAGCCATTTGGGGTTTTGTAGCAGATTACGAAATAATAATATATGATTAGTTAGTAGAAAAGTATAAGAGGTTTTGACATGTTTGCCGTTTGACTTTTTATGTAAAAAGTAATTGTATATGTAATGGTATGTTTGTAATATAGGTAAAAGTTAAAAGATATTTTGGTATTGGTGTAGGGTTACTTTTACTAAAATAGGAAATCGATACTTTAAAATGAGACATACGAAAATGGTAAAAATTGTACTTTGATTTAGGACAGAGAGAGTAATATGTTTTATAACCTTTTTCTTGTACTGAAATAATAATATATTGTACTATATGAAATTATATAGTATGTTATGCTATATATTGTATTAACATTTGCTCTTGTAATGTGCCCGGAAGCTAACACGCCCGGCGCCTAAGCCACACCGGCGCTGAGGTCCAAACCAGCCGTTCCGTACGCACAAGGCTGAATACACCATATAGTATGAAAAAATTATGCGGAATATGTACATGCACCAAGACATATGCCAAATCAATCTACTCAATAGGATAATGGTTTGCACACATGGAACGGACTATGACTGAGAACCTAAATCGGAAATGACAAACTATGACAATACTCATGCAAAGGGGAAAGAGAACTTCCCAACTCGCTGGAAAACCACGAGAGGATCGATTGGTAGTGCAAAAGATGGCAACGGCGGGTAAGGGCTTTTCAAAGAGAAGAAACAAGAATCAAGTGAATGGTCTAACATGACCTGTTTTCTGAGTTCGAACGATTGCTTGCACGATAAAGTAGAAATGTTCTTTAAGTTTTTTGTTCGATATTGATTTGGTTTTGTGAGAATATAGCATTGTCCATAATTTGCTTATTATGCTAAATATAATTATATAGTGTGTTATATATTATATTAAGATATACTGTTGGTTATTTGTTACTTTCTTTATAAGTATGTGTTGATTGAGTCAAATTAATACTATGCAATTTTAATCTAATCTAATCAACACAGTAGCTAAAATATATATTGTGTTAATGTGTATATATATTGTATTTCATAATATTATTTTATACAAATTATGTCAAAAAAATACAAAGTGAACAAACTTAAAAGTAAGTTGATGATTTATGCTTGGTTTACAATTTCATAATACTTTTTTTAGAATTCTGGATAATTTTTATATTATCGACACAATATTTTAGTATATTTTAAATAAAAAAATTTTTAAAATCAAAATACTAAATAAATAAACATATATTTTTTTTTTATGCGAAGCATACAAAATTGTATCGTTAATATGAAAAATAATATTTTATATTGACTTTAATTTTTTTAAAAAAAATAAAATAAAATACTCCCTCCGTTCTATTGAAAGGTTGTTATTTTTTATTTTCGTCCGTCCTAGAACAAGGTTACCATTTCCTAATTTAGTAATTATACTACCTAACATAATAAATACCCTTAAATTTACACTATATTACACAAATATCATTATTTTTATATTACACAATACTAATATGAGTATTTTCGTCTTTTTTCACTACAACCCATTATAATATTAATATTAAAAAATTTACTTGCAAAAAAGTAAACGACAACCTTGCATCATCGGGACTGAGGGAGTATAATCATTTTTGTCAATTTTAAAACAATAATTTTATTTTTATAAATACTAGTATCACTTTGTACTTTTTATCGATAATATCAATATTTTTTAAATTTCGTATTAAATTCAAATAAGATCATAATTTTGAAACGGAAGAAATATATCGATAGTTATCTAAAAGAAAATTATTGGAGAAACAAATTATTTTAAAAGATATAAAATCAAAGTATTTACTCCTTAAAATCAAATAATTGGAAATAATTATTGCACGGAAGAAGTATTTCTAAAAAAATATTTATATTAAAAATTAATTTTATATTCAATTTTTTTCACTCATGTCCGTACACATTTTTTTCATTTTCACCCTAATCGAGTACACTCTCTCCCGTCTTCATCGCCGCCGTCATAACCTTCCTCCGCCGCCCATCCCCCTAACGAGCTGCGCAGCGTTGGGCGGAGCGAGTAGTGGTGGAACAACCGCGATCCAGGGGTTCCTTCCGGCAAATTGAGGGCGGACAAGGAAAGACGACTTCGGCAGCTATTCTCCGACGGAAAATACTCAGAGAATCTCTATCCCTAGATCAGTGGTGAGCTATTACACTTTCAATGCTAGATCCGTTCTTCGTTACTCTTAGGTTTGGTTCGATCTGTACCTTATTGAGAGCTGAGCTATTTACGAACGTTTGCGAATATCAGTTCTGAATATTTCTTTGGCTCGCATAACACTGTTCTAGAACAATCTCTTATTGTTCGTTGACAAAAGTAAAAATAAAAACATAAAAGAAGTGATGAGAATGTAATATACATATTTTCAATGCAGCAAAATTTATATGAATTTATAAATTCTAACCATTAAGGTTTCAATTTGAGCTTGGTTATTGGGGATTGAAAAAATTAGGTTTCAATTTGAGCCTAGTTATTAGGGATAGTAAAAGTTAGGTTTCAATTTGAGCTTGGTTTTTGGGGATAGTAAAAATTTGAATTGAAATTGTATTGATGTTTTGAATGATTTTTCTTTTTATTTTCTGATTAATATTATAAGTGAAAAGTATTTGTTTGATTTGATGAATTTTCAAGAATAAATAAATTGATGAATAATGCTAAACAAACCAGACCTTAAAAGAAAAAGACTAATTCTGATGACCTTTTAATAATTGTGAGGATTAAACAATATGCATAATATAATTATGGGGTGTCTGAGAGTACATTTGAAAACTTGGAATTAAGATGTGGTTTCTGAGATTACAAACAATGGCTTCGATTACTTTTGAGATTGTTTTTTTGTTTTTGTTTATTTTGTTCTATAAATACATGCAATTTTTTTCGTATAAAATATTTCACCCAAAAACACAGATCAAAGAACCAAGCACTAAGTAAACACACCCAATGTTTATAGTTTGTATCTAATAAGTTAGTTCATGTTTCTGTAAAACATATAGCACCGCTGGACTGGTATCGAATTTGTGTTTATCTGTATTTATGGAAGTGGATATATTTTTTCCCCTTTCTCAATGGAAAATAGAGTTTTAATATAGCGTTTTGAATGACAATAAGCTTTGGTATATATATATATGTGTGTGTGTGTGTCCCCTAAGGTTCAAATTCAAGGTTTAGGTATCTTCTGGTAGAAAACTCTAATGTGTTGTATGATTTTTGCATTTTTTAGTTAAGAGTTTGTTAATCGGGTTTAAGTTACAAGTTCAGTGGACACTTCTTGCTAAGTTGCAATTGTTGTCTTGAATTCTTTATTTATGTCAGCTTTATTTCCCTTCAAGGAGGATTAGGTAAGTGATCAGATCATATTCAAAAGTCGAAGAGGGAACACGTTCCAAGACACTCCTGACTCGCAACCATGAGTACCATGAAGTTTTGCCGTGAATGGTGGGTGTTCTTTTGGTTTCATGTGAAATGTGGAATTTCTTGCCCTTCCTTTTATGTTGTGCTGTAGCTTCTACTTCACATTTTATTGTTTTACTTGGAGACTCTGATATAGGTGACTGTTTGTTTTTGGTCAGCAACAATATTTTGTACCCAAAGGAAGACAAAGAACAGAAGGTTCTTCTATACGCTTGCCGCAATTGTGATCATCAGGTTCAAATTGGACCTCTTCCTTAGGTTTTGGCTATCTAATTGTCGTGGTTGTTTTTACGAGTGTTTGAACATGTTTTTGTGTGCTGACCCCAAGATGTTAATTAAAATTATCTTGAGTAGGAAAGTACTTTAGGGTTTGTTCATTTGTGGCTTTGTTTTTCATTGTCTTGATGTTTGTAGATGAAAATAATTGTTTGATATGATTTTTTGAATGAAAAATACATGTTGGATGTGATGATTTTGAAAAAAAAAATACATTAAATAGTTGGCATATCGCCAAATTGTCGACACGGCGCCTAGGCGATATGGCGGTTAGGTGATGCCATGCCCCGAACCTCGCCGTGACAACCTTGGTGATCAACCCTGTTTTCTTGAGAAAACTATTGATGGCCTCTAAAATGAAATTTCATTTAAAGCCATTTGTTTCTTTCTCTTATCACTCTTCATTGAGCTATCACTATCACGGCTTGTTTATGTTTACTTGGACTCTCGGGGTGTGTGTTTTTTTTGCAAAATTTTTACAATTTTTACTATTTGTACTCTACGTTTTTTAAACAAATATATTTTTTTCTCTCACAAAATATCACATCAAACATTATTTAAATACAAAACAAAAAATACGAAGGTGTGTTTCTTTTGATAGGTTTTGGAAAATTTTGGTTTGAGTTTGGTATTAAAATAATATGTGATGGATATTTTGTGAGAGGAAAAAATGTATTTTTTTCGGGAACGCAAAGTCCAAATAGTAGAAATTTTGGATTTGGATGTTAAAAAACACACCCTCAATGTCTCATGGGTGGAATTTCTTTTGAACATTGCTTGCGAACATAGTAATATAATTGACACCATATCGATGTGAGTTACATAATTGTCACGGATATGGTCAAGACTAGTGTTCTCTAGTATCAACTGAACTGTCATCGTAATTGTACGAGTAGCCGGAGTTGTGTTGTAACTTAAACCATTGTTTATTTTTCCAAACGTGGCTCACTTTTCAGGAGACTGCCGATAACAACTGCGTGTATAGAAATGAGGTACACCATTCGGTTGGAGAGCGCACCCAAGTCTTACAAGATGTAGCTGCAGATCCAACGCTTCCTCGTACAAAGGCAGTTCATTGTACCAATTGTGGACATGGAGAAGCTGTTTTCTTCCAGGTTTTTTTTTTTTTTTTTTTTTTTTTTTTTTTTTTTTCTTATTTATTTAATAAATTTTTCGGTATCCCATTCATATTTTTTGGTATACCTTCTTAGCTCAACATATTCGTAGTGATCGTGCTTTCTAGTGATCATTCTTAGGTTCAAGATATAGTCACTTGATCCTTGAATCCTGGTTTTTATTTTATTTTTTTTGTTCATCAAATTCTTCGGTAGTTTCAACTAAATTTAAAATAGCCAAAATTGCTTATAACCCATTTGTGTGTAGAAAGTTTGCACCATACTCATTCATGATTTAAAAGCTTTACGAGGCTCACTTGTATTTTAGAAAATATTGGGCAAATTTTCTAGATATTGCGTGAGGCTTCTTCGTGTTTTCTAAAGCATTGCACAAAATCCCCTAAAAATGAAATTCTGTGCAATTTTTTAAAAAGCATAAAGAAGCATTATCTAGTTTCTAAATTATGAAGGAGAATGGCACATACTTTCCAAACTACAAGTGGGTTACAGATAATTTTGCCTTTAAAATAAAAATGATACTACAATTCGTTCGGCTCTAAGGATCTCATTTACTTTTTGCGTGTTGATATTTGAATATTAATTATTATATGAAAATGTAATACAAATTAAGGGAAAATGACAAAAAATACTTCTATTAGTTTCTTATAATACTATTATAATGATATTTCTACAAAAAATTATACAAATATAAGGATATTCTTAATATTAAGTACAATGACGCAAAAGATAAATGAGACTCTTAGAGCCGGACGGAGGGAGTATTTAAAACTATTGCTTTGTGACAATTCACAAACACTTGCTTTTCGATGGTCGAGCGGCTAATAGAATATAGCTTTTTCTAATATATCAATCTTTGTAAATCAGACAACACTCTTGTCACCATGTTCAAATATGCAGTAGTTATTTCATCGTTTTAACTTTGTAGTTCCGATGTTATCCTATGGAGTCGTAAACATTTGGTAATATTTATCCAAGATTTGATGCGCATACAGGCAACTGCTCGGGGCGAAGAAGGAATGACGCTATTCTTTGTCTGCTGCAATCCGAACTGCGGGCATCGCTGGAGAGATTAATTCAAAATTACATAGTCGGGTGAGGTAAGCTTCGAATATCACTTTCTGTGCAATTACAGTATGTAGTGCTTGGGGAAGCTGTTATTTTCCGACTGTTAAATTGACTGCGTATGCTAGAAAATCCTAACTGATTTGTAGTTGACTCCCTTTAACATACATTTCATTGTTTCGACTAATTCCATCCTTCTCCATCACTTCAATGTCATACTCTCTCCGTTCTGTTCTAAGGGTCATATTTATTTTTTGTGTATTGATCTTTGAATATTATTTATTATATCAAAATATAGTACAAATTAATGAAAAATTGACAAATACTTCTATTAGTGTTTTATAATGCTAATATTAATGACATTTGTATAAAAAATTATACAAATATAATACTCACTTCGCCCCTTAACAATCTATCTATTTTTTCATTTTGGTCCGTCACTTTTCTTTTTTAGTAACTGTACTATCTACCTACATTATAAATATTTTTTCAATTTACAATATATTATACAAATGCTATTATTTTTATATCATACAATACTAATAACGGTAGTTTAATTTTTTTACCTTTATTTCTATTACATTCCAATAGAATACTAATACTTTTAAAAACTCCGCGCAAAAAGTAAATAGACAAATAAATATTGGACAGAGGGAGTAATATTTTTAATGTTAAAAATATAATGATGCAAAAGGTAACTGTGATCTTAGAGACGATCAGAGCTACTATAACCTTTGATTAATTCCACCCATTTTTTGTTGCCTCGAATTCATTTACTTCTGTAGCGTAGGCTCGATTATGAAATGATACCCAACGTACTCAAGAAATTCTTCTTGAGATATCGATCATGAATTGTTAATCATTACCCGAATATTCTCTATATTCAGATGGCCCCCATCTTTTACCAAATCTCAATTGATCCCCCGACAACTGTGTACTTCTATACACTAGAACACAATTGATAATTTTTCGCGAATTCTACTATAAGACTTAGATGTCATAATTCTCGAGGAATTTCAGAAGTACCTGTTTCGATAAACTTGGCTTGTTTTCTTACTGGACCGTTGTCATCATCTTCGTCGCCACTATGATCCCTGCAAGGTTTCATTTCTTGCGACGTTTCATTCTTACTCGAATGTTCGTCTGCATCATCGGCCTCTGATGGATCTGCTTTATTGGTTTGTACATAAGAAGGGTTCTCAATTTCTGATGATGTTGGTAGTAGCTTTTTTTCTTCCATCTTCCTCTGATGCTCGAAGATCTTTTGGAGGTGCTTTGTTTGTTCTTCGATTCGTAGCTGAAGGTTTCTTTGGATCTGTAGAAACAGCTATCGACGATTAATGGCTAACATTTGACAAATCAAGTGATGTGCAATAACATGTTAGCCAGTGAATTCTAGCTGCATTTCAAACAACAATAAAAGATCGAAACGTAAATGTGCGCTCATGTAAATTAATCAGTTATTTTTACTAATATATATTTTAATTATTTATTAATCATACATTTAGCTGGTTTCCTGTATTTACGTAAAACTGGACACGTAAGGTGGGATTGAGGTTTCCCATTGTATTTTCATACACTTTTGAATGTTTTGGTTTTCTTTTACAAAATATCATGTCAAATAACAATTTTATCTAGAAAAAACATTACATTGTATATCCAACTTTTTACTATTCACGTAATTCTCTAAAACTTCGAAAAATTCTTATCTAAACAAAGCTTCGGGTTGTTTGGTTTTGATTTCAACTCAAATAACTACTAGTTAGACCGTCTGATTTCCCGTAAAATTCACTATTTCATTCATATAATTTTACATCAAAATACAATTTAAACCAAGACAAATAAAAAATGTATACCAAAACCAAACAACCATTTAGAGATTGGATAAACTTTCATTTCTCCCCAACCAGCCTTCTATAAATGGATCAGAACACAATACACATTGGATGAAAAAAATGGACATATAAATTGGCCGGCGGCTGGTAAGGTGCTGATTTGGTCAAATAAGGCAAACTAACACGAAGGAATTAACAAAATATTACACAATATATATAGCACATTAATTTGAAATAATTAGCAAATCATCGTAAGAAAGATAACATATATTGTATTATATATAATGTACTATATATTATGTGATGATTTGTTATATTATTTATGGACATTTGCTAATTGGATTAAATTACTATTGTGCTGAAGTCAAAATATATTTTACTATATATAATTATATAGTATACTATTCAAATATGTGCTATAATCTATATCTGACATTTGCTATTTATATTATAGACATTTGCTAATTGGATCAAATCAGCATGATTCCCAATCAACACGGTAATCGAAGCGAAATTGGCCTTATAATTTTTTCTAGGGAAACAAAACCATCCTTTACATACCTCAAGTTGTTCATGCAGCTGCTTTTGTACTTCCATCTGCTGTCTGAGGGCTTCAGTCAGGTCCAAGGTCCTGCCAAGAACACTCAACTAATTGAGCTTCAATGGCAATAAACATTAGGGAGGATGATTAGAAATGCACATGAATTTAAGTGAAAGCACCTAAGGTCTTCACAAAACATTCGAAAACCAAATTCAATCGCGAAGCAATGCCCGCGCTTTGGATAGCATCATGAACAAACAACTGAAGGAAATTTAATGTAAACGTGCTTTGGTAATGGCCGTGTGAGTGCCACATAGGTATAAAAAGGGGGACTCACGCTTTCAAGTCCACCGGCTTTGATTCTTTTCCGGTGTTTGAATTCTTGTCTGAAGATCCTAGCAATGGCAACCATTAAGAAGCCAACAATAACAAAAAGATCTATATACACACACAGAACAAGGGGTAAATTGTAGTACATCCGTCCGGCTCTAAGAATTTTATTTACTTTTTGCGTGTTGATCTTCGAATATTAATTATTATATTAAAACGTTGTGCAAATTAAAAAAAAATTTGCAAAAATACTTTTATTAGTGTTTTATAATACTAATAGAAGGACATTTGTAGAAAAAAATTATACAAATATAAGAATATTTTTAATGTTAAGTACAATGACGTAAATGTGACCTTTAGAGGCTAACGAAGAGATTATAATATTCTTTGAATTTTATTATAAATGCACAAAATACTTTTCCGTCTAAAACTGAAGTTGGTTGTAAACAAGCATCTAATTATACAAATAAAAATGGTAAAATATCTTAAATAGCTTTCTTTGAAATAAATAGATAAATAATCAACTTTATTTCATACTTTTTTTTTTTGTTTTTTTGAGGCAGGAGTGCTATTTAAGACATTTCGCTCTTTTATTTGTGTAACACTTTGTAATTAGGCGCAACCAACATCACCTTTGGACGGAGATGATGTTTCACACATTTTAATAAAAAACAAAAAAAATTTACATAATAAATAAAATAATGATATTTTGTGCATTTATAATAAAACACAAGAGTGTATTATACTTACTCCGTCCTAACTCAATGTATTTTTTTCATAATTTTTTCTGTTCCACTAAAAAGTATTTTATTACTATTATAGTAAAAATAATTCATTTATAAAAATCAAAATACTCATTACTTTTTCAAAAAATATTACTTTTTTTTTATATATTTGCAACAACAAAAATGTCAATGTCAGTTTAACGTACTTCCACTAACCAATTAAACATTCTTTTCTTTTAATCTACCAAAAAAAAAAACCAAAAGAATATTTTGAGCCGCAACGAAGGGAGTACAATTTACCCAAGAATATGAAGGAGAATAGTCAGCAAATGTGAAGCATTTCCCATTGTCCAGCAATTTAAAAAAAAAAAATGGATTTGTACCTTCTGATGATTCAGGCTTCACTCTGGCAGTTCTATATTTCTGAAATTCCAGAATATGGTTAGCTTTAAAAAAGCTTGAATCAGAAAACCAAAGATTTAATTCAACAGAAACATTTTTACCACCTGTAGATGACTTTTCACATGATAGATTGTCAAGCCTTTAACATTGATGAGCTTCAAAACAGCCTTTGGTGTAGCTTCTGTGCAATTTTATCTCATAAGAGTTAAAACATAAAATAAGATTTTAAAAATCCATGGAACTCTGGAGCAAACTAGTAGAAGCCTAAAAACTCACTTTCACAACCACCAAGCTTGTTCACAGCGTCGACGAATATTTCATGAAGTTCAGGAGTCCACCGCATTCTAGATTTGTTAGAGGGTGCAGTCGGAGAGCAAATCACTGGAGAACAATTTCCACTTGGAATCGGATAATGACATAGATGATGAATTTGTGGTTGGCACTTGGAGACCTCCTCCGGTGGCAGATCTAGCAACTGCAGTTAAACATTTTGAAGAGATGAAAAAGGGATAACAAAACAGTAACACATTTTAGTTACACTATAAAAAGCTATGGCATAAATAGTCGCATTAGCGTGTAATAATATCCATCTAAGTCCCAAAGATCTAAAAAGCGATGAAAGATTTTCCGTTGCTGCGATGTTGTCCCTAATCGACATCTTCCCTGTAGCATCTAACACGGGAGTGTGTTGTTCATTAGTACAATCTAGAAGATGCCTTAACACAAATGTGTTTTAAACAAACAGAGTTGATTGTAATTAAACACACCCATGTTTCTGTCTGAACCTCCCATTGACTAGAGTTGTAGAATAACATGTTCTTGTTTGTCAGGACCACGGGCATGTTTCAATGCAGACAGACTTAGAATTGGGGGGTAACTTAAAACTTTAGTTGAAGAAGTTTATGGCAAGCCCCCATTAGGGGGGTAGTTACTACAAAAGAACTATGTTATTTATGGAGCATATTATATTCAAACATTAGCCTAGTCCATATAAATCACCTACTATACACTTAAAATGATCATCATACACCTACGAATTCATTGAAATTTTTAAGTTTCACTATAAACCAATATGTAAAACCACAATAAATCACTCACAAAAAGTAAATAAACTTATACAATGCAATTGGAAGCAAATAACTCTTATTTGTATAGACGCTCGATAACATGCTTGTATTCATGATGAATACACGTGTGTTCTCCTACGACTCTAGTCAATGGAAGATCCAATTTAAGAGACAAGCATGTTTTATTACCACATTGGCCATGCTCAAGCATCTTACAACTCATGTGGGCGAACAACATACGATATGCTGTACTATGTTTTGAAGCCAAAATACAGAATGTTGATAGTAACATGCCCATGTTGCTCCCTAGAATAGATGATAGGGGGGGGGGGGGGGGGGTTGGGTGCTATGTCAAACAACTTGCTAGTAGCTTTTCCAATCAACCATATATGTTTAGAATTTATCTCTCTCTCTATATATACTCCATCTATTTGTCATCAAACTTATTTCCACTTTTTTTTTTGTCATCCAAATTTTATTTTATTTTTTAGTAAAAAATTCCACTTTTCTACTTTTTTCTTTATCATAAAAGGAATTTTTTTTTTTCACCCACTTTTTTTATAAAAAAAATTCGTGTCCGATCAAATGAATATAATTTTACATGACGGAAAAAGTACAAGTTAATGGAACCATTTTTGTTACACCTATTCTTATGGTACTAAATGTGTAGCCGAAGAATTTAAATAGGATTGAAACACATTATTTTCCCAATCAAATAGTAAAAGTATTAAAACATCATTGATATTGAGAAAATGACCTTGGAATCTGGATCGGGCAGGTTGACATCAATGAGAATATCACTCCAGCTTGAATCAAGTGAATCATCTGCAACTGTAATCAACTCATCTGCCCAGCCATGCCAATCAGTTTTCCTCACATGGTTTTCTGATGCCATTGAACCTCCAGTGGTATTTTCAGCCATTATGCAGAAGCCTATTGTAAGGATTATCAAGAAAGTTCTTACCATCAGCTTTTTGCATTAAAGGATGCTAGTCATTTATATTGCATGTAAAGAATAAAATAGTAAAAAAATCCATTATTATTGGACCACACAGAAACACGAGGAAGATCTATGAGACAGTTAGGATGCGTTTGTTCGAGGAAAGGGTGAGGAAGCAAAAACTATTTTAAATGTTCCTTCTTTTTTTTTTGGAATGGGAAAGGAAAGGAAAATACTTACCTACAAATTGGCGAAATTTGTAGGGAAGGGGGAAAATAGTTATAATTATTTTTAACATATATATATTATTTATTATACTTTTAATACTTTATTTAAAATCTATACCTCTGTGTAGCCCTCGTTTTGATTTTATATTTTTATTCACTTTATCCATTACAAGTTCTTTTGCTATTTGTTACATTTGAGTTTGTTTTTTTACAATTTTGAATCCAAATTAACAATTCGTTTTCAATAAATATATATATATATTTTTCATTAAATATTCCATCAAAATATTATTTTATATAATTCAAATCAATATCTCATTTCAAATCAATTTTAAATTACAATCAAACAATCTCATATTACACCCAAATGCAGATTTTTTTTTTTTTCTTTTTCTTTTTAAATTTGGTTTTTGTTAAAGGAAATAATGTACTCTATTGGGAATCACCATTGTTGCATAATTTTTTTTATATAAAAAAAAAAAAAAAAGAAAAAATTCCAAAAGAACACCACCTAGTTTTGTGTTTTTGCATTTTGTAAAATCTAAAAATTTCACGATCAGCTAGATTTGGTTTTTTGGTCTTAAAATCGTGATGGAATCTTAAATAGTAGAATATTTTTTTGTTAATTATTATGTAATTTAATTTTTATTTGTTTCATTTTTCTTCACCAAATAATACAATTATATATTTGTAATTTTTTTCAAGCTTTTCTTCTTTAACCTTTCCCTCCCATTCCCTAGGTTGACCAAAACACACATTTAGGGAGAAAATAAATGAGAAGCAAATATCTGCAACAATCTATACCAAAGCTCTACAGGCTTCCACCTATTTGTAACAATGTTTTACGAAAGGCGTAGGGAACTTCCTTAGGTGTTCTCACTGTGTAAATCTTCATAGAAATGTATAGAAACTACGAAAACAATAAATTCCACAAAAATCGAAGCGAATACACAAAAAAAATTAAGCGAAAAACGAACCTCGAGAGGCAGCGCAATCCGATAGTCTCGCGAGTGACTAAACATACAATTGAAACCAAATCCAGACTGACGCAGAGCTCAGAAACGCCGCGCCGATTGCTGAGTCCGCAGGGCGATAGAAATGTAGGACGACGACGGCGACGGCGACGGCGACGGTGGGAGCGGAATTGGATTTATCTGAAATCGGGAATGAAATGATTGATAGATCGTTGGCTGCTGTTTGATCCGTGGGGGTAACTAATACTCAACTAATAAATAGCTATGCTTGCCTTGGAGTGATGTGGACCGTTGATTTCGGCGATGGATAAAACGATCTGAACCGTTGATTGGACGCCTCTGCTGGAGTTGTCCAAGTTGGCTAATTATGGTTTAGCTTAGTGGTGGGGAAACAAATTCTTGCTGCTATTGATTGTTTTTTTGTCTTTTTGCTTGCGTCACTTTGTGGGGCCCACTTTAAAAAGTTTATGCCGTGTTTGTTTGGGTTGGAGTGCAATGAAATGAGTCGGGTTTAGTCGGATTCGGGATCCGACCCCAAAATATAGTATTGGATCCGAGATTTAATTTGAATTTGATCTTTGGATCTGATCATACTCGGATTCGAATTGAACAATAATTAATAAATTTTAATTTTAAATTGGAGTCAAATTCGGATTCAAATTCTATATATAATATTAAAATTTATGTATTTTATTAAAACTATTTTTAATATAATTTATATTGGTATTTTTTTTTCATATATATAAATAATAGTACTTCCTCATTCTCATATCTATTTATTCATTTATTTTTGACAAAGTTTTAAATTGAAATGATATTTGAACTGTTAGGTAGATAGTAGGAAATAAATATTTTGTTGTGAGACAACTAAAATGAAAAACTAGATAGATTGTTAAGGGACTAATGATGTATATTATTAATAGGGTAAACTGTTTTTTTAGTCCCGTAATTGGACTTCCTTATCATTTTAGTCCCGTAAGTGGAGTTTATCGCAAACTATTCTCATAAGTGAAAATTTTTCGTTATTTTAGTCATCTGGCGCCGGAGACGCCCGCGTGTCTCGCCGGAAGCCACATGTCCGCCAGGTCAGCGACACCTGGCGCACACGTGGGATTTGATTTTTATTATTTTATTATTTTTTAATATTTTTTCAATTGGACCAAATAAAAAAATTAAAAAAGGCAAATAAATTTTAAAAAATAAATTTAAAAAAAATAATGAAATCCATGTGTCTGCCATGTCAGCGAGACCTGGCGGACACGTAACCTCCGACGAGCCACGCGGGCGTCTACGGCGCCAGAGGACTAAAAAAACGAAAATTTTTCACTTATGGACTAGTTTGCGACTGGTTTTACTTACGGAATTAAAATGATAAAAGAGTTCAGTTACGAGACTAAAAAAACAGTTTACTCCTATTAATATGAAGTATATTATTAATATATTAATTAGATCTAGATCCAAGTAGGGTCTACAATTGAATCCGAAACACGACTCAGACCTGATAAGAATATACAATATCCAACCTATATCTGATCCAATATCCGTATAATTAAACCCAACCCTCTATAAATGGGTCCTATCTCGAGCCTACTTAGACTTATTGTCATCCTTAGTGCAAACTAAAGTCTTTTGAATAATTCAAAAATAAATTTGTACAAATTCGATTCACAATAGTATGCTAGTATTTAATTGGTTCAATCATAATTATTTATTTTTTATTATCCACACATATTTGTACAAGCACAAGCTTTTGGTTTTGGAACCATTGATACTTCTAGTTTGTGACAATGATATGTTTAATAAGTTAATAATATATGAATTATAATATTATTTTATGTGAAATATTGTTGATAATTTTAAAATATTCATTATTTTTTATAATAATAAAAGAAATATATATAATTTTAAATTTATATATGAATAAAATATTGTATATAAATAGATATTATTTAAAAATAAAATAAAATTTTATATAATACAAATAAATAAAAAATAAAATAAAATTTTATATAATACAAATAAATAAAAAAATATTTATTTATAATTGACATAGGTTTGCCTATAATTTTTTTTTACGATATGTTTTTCAATATATGTACATATGTTTTATTTTTTTACAAAAATAAATATTTAATATAAAATATTATTTTCTATATTATCGATATGATTTACTGTACTTTACATAAAAATTCTTTAAATCAAAACATTAAACAAACATACCCTATGTTATAAAAAAATCAGTGTGTTTGTTTGTGAGATTTTGATTTTGAGTTTAAATAATTAAATTTTATGAAAATACTACATATACCATACGAAAATATAATAGATAAAATATGTTATATAAAGCATATGTGTGCTGTAAATGCTATTGATGACTTTTTTTTTGTCCGACCGATAAAAAATGATCATTTTTATTTTTAATAAATTTATTTATTTTAAATATATACTACCAAATATAAGAGGATGGTTTTTCGAGAGCTTTTAGCAGTTGTATCAGTAAATCAGCCAATTTTGGTGTTAATTAACGTTTTCAATTAGTTTATTGAGTCCAAAAAATTAATTTTGAAAAAACTGTATATCTCAGCATTTCAAATTAGTTTTTTTATCTTCATTTTTCTTATTCCTTATTTACTCTTAAAATTATTTAATTATTTTACATATATTAATATTTTTTTGTATAGTATATTAATAATGAATGCGTGTAGTGTATTATTTTTTTTTTTAAAAAAAACGTATTTGAAAAAATAAGTGAAAGAAAGAAGCCGCATCTCTCATAAATAATACTCTAATAATTAACATATTTATGGTTGTTATGAAAAATATATGAAAGAATTTAAAATTTTATTAACGAAATCGAGTAAAAATATTGTATTAGTTTTAGTTTTTGAAGGATCAGCCCCAAATCAACTCGAAAACAAAAAAATCTACACAAAAACACACCCAAAAACGCGATGAACACGAGCACTCCGGCCTACTATCTACGACACAAGAAATATATCCCCACAAATAAAGATATAATGCTAACAGAAGCCTACACGTTGAGAGAGCCCCTTGCGGCTCAAATTAACAACACAGAGAGAAATAACCATGTCAATGAACTCCACCGATAGGAGGAAAACAACCGTAAAAAATCGTCGCCGAAAGGATGGCCAGAGAGAGAGAGGAGGACTAGAGAGAGTGAGTAATGTAGAGAGAAGATTATGTCAATGAAGTGAGTGAAGGCTGCCTCTTCCCTCCCTATTATATAGATAGGTTAAAAAGAAATGAACGGCCAAGATCTCAACCCTAGATCCAACGGTTGAGATCTTGTCTAATAAAAAGGGATGCGGGTCAAAAGAGGGTTACGGGCTGCGGACATGGGTTAAGCAGCGGGTCGCAGGCTGTGGTTATGGATTAAGGTAAGTGGATCGTGGGCCTCGATTGTAAGTTTAAGCCCAAGTGTACTTGGGCTGCGAAAATAGGTGCATTTTGTATATAAAATGAGGTGGATCAATTTGGAAAAAAAAATAAAAAATCCAACAATGGTAATATACTGATAATTTTTTTTTAATATAAGGTTTGTTCGTCAAATTAATTTTTTTTTCTAATAGAATTATTAATGTATAATATTTATATTATATTTTCTTATAAAAATCATAATTTTTTTTTTTCATTCTATATAATTATTTTTATATAAATACTATTCTTTATTAAATTTCATGAAAAAAAAAAAAAACAAATGCATTTTAACTATAGGGAGCATAAAACTAAATAGAAAAGGAATAAAAAAACACAGCCCAATACACATAATCCAATTATACGAATGCAATTCGAGCAAATTTAGGATGATTTTAATTATAGTATTATATTTAATTTTAATTTCCAAAAAAGTGTTTAAAATCTAATTGCTATTATCTAATTTGATGTGTGGAAAATATAAGCATAAATAATTTATAGAAATATATAAGACTTTTATTAAAAAAATTGCTGATTTTAAAATCAATATAAATGTACTTAATATATATATATATACTTTACATAATATAAACCATGCAATTTATTTTTAAGTATATAAGGGCTTGTGTTGCAATTCGTTTAAAAACATAAAATGGCGCGTGATTTCAAATTTTTCACAAAATAAAATTTAAATTATTTATTTTATTTTTGTTTCGAGTAAGCTTTGTTTAAATATATGGAAAGTGACGTCGGAATTGACTCATAATACATATAGAATAATCCCGTTCCTATTTTTTTGGTAAGTAGGAATACCCGAACTAATTCCATTACAGCAAATACATCGAAAATATAAAATTAAATACAAAAAATAATAATTATAGTTCCGTAAATAACATTATTAGTACATTGTCTCTTATATCAATTAATTATTTCAAATATATTCTTAGAGTTATATTTCAAATTTTTACTATATAATTAATATATTGTATAATTTTGTTATTTTTTCCTTTTTATAATAAAAATATAATTTTTTTATGAAAAAAAGAGAACATTTTTTAAAAACGGACAAATATATATATATATATATATACTATTTTTAAGAAATAAAGAAGATATAACATTTCAAAATATTTGATTTATGAATGCTCAGTTTACTTAGGCATAATTTTAATTTTTTGTGTTGTAATTTATTATGAAAAATATATTATTTCATCAATAAAATTAAATCCAACCTATGATTTAAATAAAAGATAAGATATAAACAATAATCAAATAAATTAGTCTAATTATATTTTAACTTTGACATAAATAAATAGAAAAAAAAAACTTTTAACTTTTAATTTTTTTTTCAATAATTTATTATATAGTATAAGTTTACAATTCCCTCTAAATATACTTTTTTAAAAAATAAAATATTATATTAAATAAATATTTAAATAGAAAAATACTAGCACAAATTAAAAATTATATTAAAAGCCAATGATCGTTGTTGAAACAATATGTGTTGTGTATATCAATAGCGTGCACTGTCGGTATGTTATTTATCTGTAATGTAATAATATGAAATGTTTTGAAATTAGTGGTAATATGTGCCGCATACACTATTGTCATATGTTGTGTCAGTTCATATATTGTATTTATATTATATTAACATAATAACGTTGTCTGTCTATTTGTTATATATTGTATAACTATATTTGAAGTGTTGACAATATTATATCGAATACATTCATTCAGTATGATAACTACAATCTTATTCATTACTTAACATAACGAGAAATTTTGATCTCTTTTTAAATTTATATAGCAAATGGACGAGGGGGAATGAAACATTTTTTCACTTGAGCCGGTCATTCAAAGCTCGTCTATAATGACTTTTTTCAATCGACATGATTCGTAAATTATTGTATTAACTGTAGAACAATGATTTTATGTCCAAAATCTATCTTCTTTTTTTTTTTTATGTGAATATTTTTACATTCGAAAAAAAAAATATACCACTTGGATGTTAATTATGTACGAAGATGGTAGTTTTTTTTAAAAAATCAATTTATAGGTACTTAATGTATATATACTTTGCATAATATATACCATGCAATTAATTTTAAAGCGTATAATAGCGCGCATTGCAACTCATTTAAAATAAAATTGCGCGTGATTTTGAATTTTTCGCAAAATAAAATTAAAATTATCTTTTTTATATTTATTTTTGTTTGAAGTAAGTTTTGTTTAAATATATATAGCAAGTGACGTCGGAATTGACTAGAATAATTACGGAATATTCCCGTTCCTATTTTTTTGGCAAGTAGGAATGCCCGAAATAATTCAATTCCGACAAACGCATCAAAAATATAAAATTAAATACGAAAAATAATAATTTAGTTCGGTAAGTAACATTAGTAGTATATTGTCTTTTATAGTAAACATTTATTTAAATTCAAAATTCAAAGAAATATCTTTTGAGAGATTTTCCAAGATTTATACTATTCACCGGATTTCTCTTTAAAAAATATTAAATCAAATATCTATTTTTAATTTTTATATTATACTAAAAATCAATTTCACATCAAATATTTATTTATATCACATTATACAACTATTCCAATTCAAATTTTTTACTATTCAAATCCCAACTCAAAATTCAAAATCTCAAACTAACACACCCTTAGAGTTTTATTTCAATTTTTTACTAAATAATTAGTATTACATTCTTCTAATAATATTATTCCATTGTTTAAAAAAATGTGCTTATACTTTTCAACATGAGTTTTAATATATTGTGTAATTTTTGTTATTTTTGCCGTTTTATAATAAAAAATATATAATTTTTTATTTAATAAAAAAATAAGAACATTTTTTATAGGGACAAAAGAAAGTAAATATTTATTAAGAGATAGAGAAGATATAACATTTCAAAATATTTGATACATCACTGCTCAGTCTACTTAGTCATTATTTTAACTTTTTATATTGTAATTTATTATAAAAAAAATTATTATTTCATCGAATAAAATTACATCCAACCTATGATTTAAATAAGAAAATGAGATTAAAAAAATAATAAAAAAACTAATCTAATTATATTTAAGTTTGATATAAATAATAGAAAAAACAACTTTATTTTTATTTTTTTTTCAATAATTTATTATATATTTTAAAATTCTCTATAAATACAATTATTTTTTTAAATAAAATATTATACAAAATAACTATTTAAATAGAAAAATACTAACACAAATTAAAATATCTATTATGATTCTTGAAAATTTGACTCATTTTGATCAAATTAAGTACGATGATTTTGATTTTCTTAGTCAATTTTGGCCATATTATTGTCGGGATTACTATACTCTAATAAACATTTTTTAACTAACTCTACTCAACTCCGAGGAATCCCTTTAGAAATTATTCATATCAAAGGTTGTTTGGTTTGAGTTTCAAAATTTTAATTATTTTACTATTTAGTTTGAAGGTCTTTTTAATAAGGATATATTATTTCAATTCACAAAATATTATATCAAAATTCTATTAAAATAAAAAATTTTGATAAAAAAAGAAAAAGAAAAAAGGAACTCAAATTCAAATACATTCCAACATACCATTTAATAATAATTTTATAATTAATACGACATACTACTGAGTCTCTATTTATATACGATGTTTTTTGTTGGGAAGTGATTTATTGAACAAAACACATTCGAACACTTCAAAGGGCCAACTCTCTCAGTGTGAACGGTTCACAGTTAAAACAACGATTTAACAACAAATAACAAAGTAGAACACAAAGCAATACATGAGACAAGGTATTTGTTGACTTGATTCGATTATCAACTAATCATTCGGGGATATCAATCAAAGAGAGATTCCATTAATCAATACTGATTATAGAATATGAACAACTACGAATCCTTCTGCCCACACTCCTATCATGGATAACCTAGGAAAATACCTTCACAGATTTACGTTGTCACAAACGATGACAACGACCATACAATAGAGCAGCTCAGAATCTGATCATCCTCTTCGGTTAGAATTTCATTATCTCCGATCTTCGTCGACCTCTCTGGTGGGTTTCAGCGTCAAACAACAGTTCAAAACATGGAGAAAATAGGGGAGAAGGGTGAGGGAACACATAATAATTTTTCTCTCTAAATTTTGGCTCTCAAACCTCACTCACAACCACACTTTTTGTCTCTATAGTTGTATATACCATGCAACATTGGAAAGAACAACATCTTATTAATTTTCCTTTGCATGAAATAGGATGGAGTGTTCTCCAGTGATTCTGCACGTATCTGACCATCTTCTATATGTTATGTTTGACTCTTCAGGCTTTTAAAATATTGGATATATTGAATAATGTTAAGCCCACATTTTCAAACTGCACTATGATTACAGTGACAATTTTTTTGCAACTTCAGAACACTTGAAATGAGAAACTTGTTGCACATGAAGAAAATATATTTGTCCATATGCCAAAAATAACAAATGGTGTGTTTGTTTGTGGGTTTTAGTTTTTGGGTTTGGATTTTTAAATAGTTGTTTGATGTGATAGAAGGTTGATGTGATATTTTGAATGTAACATAAATTTTTAGTATAATATAAAAAAGAAAAAGTAATTGTTTGATATAATATATTTGGAAGAAAAAAAAAAGAATTTGAATAGTAAAAACTTACGATAAAACCCACAAAAGAACACAACCAAAGAGTTTTTCTCATTCACACTTTTCAACAGCTCTGTGTTGACAGGAGTTAATCATTACTTACTTGCCTCTCGTCAACACATTATCATTAATACACAGTCTATGGTTGTTGTTGAAATAAGATGTCGTGTATATCAACAACATGCACTATCAGTATGTAATTTATCCGTAATGTGGTAATATGCGTTGCATGCACTATTGTTATGTGTTGTCAGATCATATATAGTACTTATATCATATTAACGTAAAATATATAATGTCTGTCTATTTGTTATGTATTGTATAACTATATTTGAAGTGTTGACAAGAATATATTTATCCAGCATGATAACTACAATCTTATTCATTACTTAGCATAACGAGGAATTTTTTTTATCTTTTTCTCAATCTACATAGCAAATGAACGATGGGGAATGGAACATACTTTCATGTACTAGTATTGATATTTACCCCAAAATCGATTCAAATTATTCAAATTCTATTAACTATTTTTAGTTAAGCTAGTCACCTAAAACTTGTTCGTAATAATTGAAATATGATTCGTAAGCTATTGCATTAACTGTAGAATAGTAATTATATATCTACAATCTATCTTTTTCCATGTTATTTTTACTTAAAGGTTAATTTCGTACGAAGATGGTATCTTTTTTTAAAAATTAATATAAAAGTACTTAATGTATATATATACTTTTTACATAATATATACAATGCAATTTATTTTTAAGTATATGAGGGCGCGTTGCGCGTGTTGCAATTCGTTTAAAAATTTACAAATGGCGCGTGATTTCAAATTTTTCGCAAAATAGAATTTAATTTATTTTTATTTATTTTTGTTTCGAGTAAATTTTGTTTACATATATGGCAAGTGACGTCGGAGTTGACTCAGAATACATATGGAATAATCTCGTTCTTTTTTTTTTTTAGTAAGTAGAAATACCGGAAATGATTCCATTCCAAACGCATCGAAAATATAAAATTAAATACGAAAATAATAATTATAATTGGGTAAGCAACATCATTATTGTATTGTCTTTTATATCCAAATCACACGTAAATATAAAAAATATTTTCAAAATAATAAAAATTAACATTTACATTATATGTGTTCATACAATAAAAGTTTTTGACAAACTTTTCTATTATTAATATTAATAAAAAATACATTATACATACATACTTACTTAATATAATAATATATATAATCTTTTCATGCAAAGAAAAAAAATAAAAAAAATTATTCAATACAAAAATATTACTTTTTATAGCATTATATATTTTTATATACATAATATAAAAGATAGTTACACTAAAAACATTAACTCACCAATTATATCTAATTCAAATAAATAATTTTAAAATAATAATAATTATTATTACAATATTAAATAATAAATTCACATAAAAGGCGTTCTTTTCGGTGCCCCACATTTTCATACTTCGCTCCTCGTTTTAATGGCGTCCTGGTTCTTCAGTGCCGTTGCCACCCTTGCTCTGTAGGACTGCCTTTCACGGTTTTGGAGAATTGATTTCCAGGTGAGATACACAAGAATGTTCCCCTTTTCTGTTTTTCTCAGAAGTGAGCCAAGTTGCAGAGTCGATTTTATTGAATTTTATTGAATTTCGTTGTCCGTACGCCATTTTTCTTCAGTAGCTAAGGCGGCTTTGCTTTGGTTTGCTTTCTTGTAAGTTGCGGTTTTGATGGTGTGAAAATGAGTCGCTTTCTTGGTCGTGGCTGTAATGGAAACTTGTGTTCCGTTATTTGAGCGCCTCTGTCTTTTCTTTTTTCTTTTTTGGGTGATTTCTTCCATGCATTATGCGAGGTGAATGGGAATCTGGCTGTGTCGTTTCAGGCGATTAAGTGAAAATTTTTGATTCGGAACTAGTTGTCAAGAATTGGCGTTTGTTAACTTATCTTGCCTCTGTTTTGATCGAGATTTTGATTAATGCAATTCCCGGAAATCAATCAAAGGTTTTTATTTTTTTCAATAATTTTAGAAATGTTTATATGAAATAGCCTTCGAATTTGATTATGGAAAAGATTCGGCTTTGGGAACGAAGACATTGCTGCTTGGAAGCCTTTTGGACAGCAGATTGTTTATTATTTACTGCTTGCCGGAGTTGAGGAGCTGTTTGAGTTTCTAAATTACGTATAGATGGTTTAGTGGCATAAAAATTGGATTCAGTTCTTTAGTGATTCTAATTTTTTGTTTTCGTCGGCTTGATCATCATGCTAAAGATTTGTTCAATGTGTGAGAATGATTTATTTATTTGTTGTTTCCCTTTTGGGTTTATTGTGTTTAATTGATCGTAGTTCTGTTTGTTCTATTTGATGTCTCTTAGGCATGAAAAACTTTTATCCTGAATCATTGTAAGCTAAAAGTGCCAAGATCGACGGGCCTTTGGGATACACGATGGAGACTGAACGGAGCTTGAGGTTTGAAAAGGCGTACGATGCCATGGGGGTATTGGGAATTAGCCCAAAAGCAGTAAAACCTGTTCTCGGCTGGTTGTTGAAGTTGTATAAGGGAAATTGGGAGCATATTGAAGAGGACAATTATCGTACACTTGCTGACGCCATATTTGAGCATGCCGATGATAAGGTTTCTCTTTGGAACCTTCCTTTCTGCCAATTCAATGTCTTTTTATTGGTGTCTTTACTCTAACATATAGTGTGTGTGTATGTATATATATATATGCATCAAAGTTCTGATAAACGACTAATTACGTCTTGGTTCGTATGTGCTATATCTTCTATGATCTATTATCTGTTTCTTTGTAATAAGGTTTTATTACTGTTGAATTTGTTGGAATTCTTTCATGGATTGTGGCTTGGCATTTCTAAACCTCTGTGCTGCTTTCCAACCTATGTAGAGTATGTCGAAAATTATTTTTCTTCTTGATGTTTCATGTCTAGGAATCGGCTGAGAAAAGAAATGAAGCAGCCCATGAGAATGCGGAACCTGCACTCAAGAAACAAAAGCAGGAACTTTCGAAGAATGAGGCTTTGTCTTCTCAGGAAAAAGATCGAAATGTTGAAGATGCAAGCGAAGGTAGGGTCCCAAAACCCCCTAGTGGAACAACGATGGCAGCGTCGACTAAAGTTCCAACACAAGGACGTACTCGCAGATTCACTAGTGTGCAGACTGGGAGCAAATACAAGAATACCATTCAAAAAAAATTGGCTCCTGATGACAGACAATCATTGCCTCGGCCGCCGTCAGGTGGACTTCATACCAATCGCGAAACTAGAAATCAAGAACCTAACAATCCTGGTTTAGTTCCAAAGTTGAACAGAGAACCAATTGATAATGAAGATAAAAGAACAGTTCTAAGGGAAAATCAGCCATCTGCTTGCCCTCCTATGCATATTCAACCAGGTACCGGCTAATGAAGTTCAAAATATTTTTTGTAAGTTGAACATGCAGTTGTGTTTTGTCTGAACCGTGAGACTTTCTTTGCATTCTTGGGAAAAAGAGCGAAATGTCGAAAATTCAAAAGAAGGGAGAATTCCGAAAACCTCTAGTGGAAAAAGGATGGTGGAGTCATCTTTAGTTTCAAGGGATCAGGCACGTGAACCCCATCGAAGAGCCAGTCATGTGCAGACCAGGAGCAAACAGAAGGATCCTGCTCAAACAAATTCTGCTCCTGATGAGCAAAAATCGTCTCCTCGTCCACTATCAAGCGCAGGTCGTACCGGTCGTGAGCCTAACAATCCTGGTTTAGCTCCAAAGATAAAAAGAACAGCAGTTGATGATGAAGATACAATAGTGCTAAGGGAAAAGCAGCTGCGTATTCAATCAGGTACTTGTTAATGAAGTTCAAGATACTTTCGTAAGTTAAACATGAAATTATACACTGTCTATACAACATGGGATTTTCTTTGTCTTCTTTGAAAACAGAGCGAAATGTTGAAAATTCAAAAGAGGGCGGAGTTCCCAAAGCCTCTCGTGGAACAAGGACGGTAGAGCCGTCTTCAGTTTCAAGGGATCCGGCACGCGAACCCCATCGAAGACTCAGTCACGTGCAGAATGGAAGCAAAAACAAGGATCTTGTTCAAACAGCTTCTGCTGCTGATGAGAAAAAATCATTTCATCGATCATCATCAAGTGCACTTCGTGCCAATAGTGAACCTATTGATTCTGGTTTAGTTCCAAAGATGAAAAGAAAGACAGTTGATGATGAAGCTACAAAATCAATAGTGCAAAAGAAAAAACAGCTCTCTGATTATCCGGCTCCACAAATTCAACTAGGTACTGGCTAATGAATTTTGAAATATTTTGTACATTAAACATGCGATTATGTTCAATCTGAAGCATGGAATTTTCTGTGTTCTTGGGAAAAAGAGAAAAATGTAGAAGATTCGAGAGAGGGTAGAGTTCCAAAAACCAGCAGTGGAAAAACAATGGTAGATTCATCTTCAGTTTCAAAGGATCTGGCACGTGAAACCCATCGAAGATTCAGCCATGTGCAGAGTGGGAGCAAACACAGGGATCACAGTCAGACAAATACTGCTCGTGATGAGGAAAAGTCATTTCCTTCTCCATCATCAATTGCAACTCATAATCGTGAATCTAACGATCCTCGTTTAGGTCCAAAGATGAAAAGAAAGGCAGTTGACAATGAAGATACAAGTACAAAAACACTGAGGAAAAGGCAGCCCTCTGATAACCCTGATCCAAACATTCAACCAGGTACTAGCTAATGAAGTTCTAAATATTTTTCAAGTTGAAGATATATTTACATCCTGTCTGAAGCATGGGATTTGCTTTCTGTTTTATATCCAATTCCAATGTCCTTAGAAGTGATAACGATTATTACCTGGAAAGATTTGATGAATATACTTTGTTAGATATGTATTGGTGTTGTATAACTGTTACTGTCGAACGTATGCTTACATTGATTTATAAATCAAGTTTTACAAATGACTTTTATCTATAGGTTCAATCAATTCTGTGCAGCAGTTAGGCGTGCACAATAAGGAAAATGGTTCTGTCTTGGGACACAATAGTCAAACTACATTTGATATAGCTTCATCTGCTAATGGACATGTGAAGGTTTCCTTAACATGTATCAATGCACAACAGCACAATACTCCATTTCTAAGAACAGACGAAGTCCTCAGGTTTGCAGAGGTCCATAGCCAGAGATTTTATGTAAACTTGGGAGCACAATTTTCTCTTGTTAACTTTTTGAATGGATTGTGTGATGGAGTTTTGGATAATATTAACGAAAGATCACCCATGAGAATATCGCCTAGGGATTATACCAATCAATCCTCAGGATCTAGAGAAAATGCTGGAAAAGATCATCCTGAATGTCGTGAACTGTCTTCTGAGTCTTTGGATTCATCTAGAGAGAGACATTTGGGTCAGAGTAAAAAGAAACAGACATTCCATAAAATGAGGGACATAACCAAAGGCTCGGAAAAGGTGAAGATTTCTCTATTAGATGAGGTAGGCACAGAGCCGCTGCCTCGTTTCGCCTACTGTCCAGTAAACGTCCCTTATGAATCTGCATTTGTACATGTATCATTAGCCCGTATCTCAAATGAGGACTACTGCCGAAGATGCAAAGGAAACTGTGTTTTAAACTCCATACCGTGCGCATGCGCTCGTGACACCGGCGGGGAATATGCTTATACCTCAGAGGGTCTGCTAACTGAGAAGTTTCTTGAATCCTGCATTACTATGAAAATTGAACCGCGAGATGAAGACCTATTCTATTGTCAGGAATGTCCTTTGGAAAGAGCCAAAAATGACAGCTCGACTGAGAAATGCAAGGGACATCTGTTGAGGAAGTTCATAAAGGAATGTTGGGTGAAATGCAGTTGCAACATGCAGTGTGGAAATCGAGTTGTTCAGCGAGGTATATCAAGGAGATTAGAGGTTGTATCCTAAACATGATCTTTTCTATTTTCAAGAACTGTTATTACGAAATTTTAAATGCATTTATGATGTCCATTATGCAAGTGATATATTATCTTCCTTACATTCGCTACATGATTCACAATTACGCATAATCATATACTGATATATACTTACTCTTCCGATGTTTCACTGAGAAGCTATTTTTACTTCTACAGAATATTAGTAGAGTTAAGCACTTAACAAGTGTTAGATTAGTCCTTTTCAAGTTAGTCTTAATTTTTGTTTTCGTTTGCTCATTCTTCATCCTAATGTAACTCCCGGTCTAGTTTTTATATAATAGACTCTTCTACTTAACCGAAAAAAAAAAGGAAGAAAGAGTAGATAGCATGCAATCAATGTGTATTACGTATGAAAAATAGCAAGGTAGCAAGTCATCAAGACATCAATTATGTATATATGTCAATGATGCTCAACATGCCGTTGCTTTCTACTTGCTGCATTTTTTTTTTCTCTCAACATATAATCACTGCTGGGATAGCTACCCATTATTTCCTGGACTTAAACATGTGATAGTTTTTATGTATTAAGTTTATACAAGTTTCACTACTTTGTCTAGGTATATTTCTATTGTGCCTTTCTGGTATTAGACTGTGTTGCTTGCGTCATACTAAGTTCATACAAGTATGATTGGTTATTGGTTTTCCCCTGCAGGTTAATTCTTTGAATCTTTATTAAAGTTAATTGTTTTCGTATTATCCTACTTTTTATCAATTGGTCCAACCTTCCGGATCCCTTTGTGATAGAATTGTACCCATCACTACCCGAGCAGAACGTCATCTAGATAAGATCAATTTCAACCTACTTGGGGTACTGAGGGAAAGGTTCTGTTGGGGTACTGAGGGAAAAGGCGCTCGAATTCACCTACTTCTAGGAATAAATGATAAGATCAATTTCGACCTTAAGTTGATGAGAGGTCAACCAGGCATGATTGCTAAGCGATTTTGGTGGATGATAAGATCAATTACTGGATTAAGTAGGTAGGGAAGGATCGATTGAAGGGCAGCATGGGTTGAAAAAAAGAAAAGTCCCACTCTAATACCATGTTGAGAAATGAAATGAGAAGGAAATGAAATGTATTAACTTGCATTAACTTTGTACAATAGAATAACACAAATATATAGACACTAGGAGGTCAGACTAAGAGATATAGAGGGTGGAAGAGACGAAAAAGATGAAACAAGCAGACAAACCAACACATAGATATGATAATTAATATTTAATAGGTTGATTATTAGTGGATACTTCGAAATTATATATTATGGTTACATTTTGAAATGCAAATTTTTAATAGATAATCCTAACAATTATGTAAAATATGAATATATGCATTTACATAAACTGCTATTCCAAATTATGTTTACGAAGTGTCTCTTTTCCACTTAATAAAAGGGATTTTAAATTTGTATTCAGGTTTTCTTATACGAAGGAAAAGGCTGGGGTTTACGTACACTAGAAGAGTTACCTAAAGGAGCTTTTGTTTGTGAATATGTTGGAGAGATCTTGACCAACACAGAGCTGTTTGAAAGAAACAAGAAAAATGCTGGTAACGGGAAACATGTATATCCTGTGCTACTCGATGCAGACTGGGGTACAGAAGGTGTTTTAAAAGATGAAGAAGCCCTCTGTTTGGATGCAACGTACTATGGAAATGTCGCTAGATTTATAAATCACCGGTAAGCTTTCATAAACTTTAATATCATGTCTTATCAAATTCAATCACTATCCTCCATATATCTTCTGCATTTGATTGGTATGAATATCGTGCAACTGGAATTATATATTTGCCAAAAATTGTACATGAAGGCGACTTGATAGGATGATTGGCATGTACATAGGGTGTCAGCTGGTTGTGTGGGTCATGACAGCTTCCACAATAGAGCGACATTTTTAACTTTGATGTGCACTGTTCTCTCATAAAATACTAATTGGTGGCGCCATAATATAGTTTAGCCATTGCTTATATATATAAAGGTTATGGGTTATAGCCTATGGTTAGCCTTTCAGTCTTCATATTCGATCGTACTACAATTTTTTTATTTTTATTTTGAACTATATCAGGACAAAAGGTTTAGAAAAATATTGAATGCTAAAACTGTAGTGTATAAATGCATTAAATTGTAAGTATATTACAAAAAGTTAAAGTTTTCAACACCTTTACATGTTGTTGTTTTTTTTTTTTTTTTTTCGGTATGTTTGTGTTTCGGGTTTTGATATTTTTGAGATCAAATTATTGTTGGATGTGATGTTTTGGAGGAATATGGTGAGAGTGCATAGTTAAACACACACACACTCAAAGAGAACCAACCCCTTGTGTGTAAAATAACTTTTAAAAAATGGTGGATCTCAAGGATTCAAACACCGACTTTCTATTCTCATATCATGTTACAATTGTCATAATACAAAGTATTCAAATAGGCTTAGGTGTATGAGCTTTTTAAACAACCCTCTATTCTACTCAGCGTTGAAAGGATTTTTATTGATGGGGAGAACTGTAATGAAACAAAAAAGAATAGAAAGAGTTTTTCTTGTATTTGGGAGCTTTAAAATGAGATGCGGAAATGATTAGAAGAAAGCATTTCTTGTTCTTTCCTTTTTCTTTATCTTTTCTGCTTGATCATTTTCTTCATTTTGTACTGTTATAATCTCCCAAACTATTCATAAGTACAGTTCTCAGAGGATGGTCTGGGCTTATCAGTAAGAGAAACACATATGTATATATATATTCGAAAAACATCATATAGTAGAATTGGAAGGATAATATGCCATATAGTTTATACAGTGTGGTTTCTAACCTAAGTTGAACATTGCTGATTATAGCTTTCAATGGAGTAACATTGATAGGAACAAGGCTGCACTTTCCTGTCAAATTGGTCCCTTCAGTATGCAAACAATGGTTTTCTTGTATTTCTATATAAACAGTCTATAGATTATTATGTAACAGATGATATAATGCATAAAAACCTATTTACTATCGATGAGCATGCAGTTGTATAGATTTCACTTCATTACTTAATTTATCTGTCTTGATAATAGATGCTTTGATGGAAATATCATTGATATCCCAGTACAGGTGGAGACTCCTGATCGGCATTGTTATCATGTAACATCGACTCCTCCATTGTCTTATTCCTGCTATTTCATTGTATATAATGTACAACAACACTAAAGCTTCTATGCTTTGTTACGCAGATTGCTTTCTTCACTAACAGGAAAGTGGAAGCTCTAGAAGAACTTACATGGGTAAGTAATTCAATGGTTTATATTCCACATTTTACTGAATGATTTTATTTGATACATTGGTTAGAAACCGACATGTGTCTCTATATTCTTCCTAGTGCCATTGGAACAAGTTTAGGCAGTCACACTGTAGGGTCTCTTTTACTTCGTTGGGCCACTTGCTTCGAGTCTTTCAGTTTTGGTTGTATTAGCTAAACTCTAATCTTCCATAAGAAAAAGAAAAATATCATTACATTGTATCATGAGCATTTAGCAACTCAACGCTTAATTCTGTGAGTTATTGTCAGATCTCATTACTCATAAAAATGACGAGATAAAAGAGTAAACTATGGGTATGTATACTTTGTGTTTGGTTTTGATTTTGCGACTTATGTTTTTTGGATGAAATAACAGTTGGATGTTATGTTTTGTATAGAAAATTCGTATGTTTTTATAGGGATTCACAAAGTTGTATAGTAAAATGTCAAAGTGAGCAGAGCATATATGTATATATATATATATATAGTACTTGTCTTTTTCATATAAAAAGCATAAATGCCCTCTGCAAATTTTATTTCATATTTCGCATTCATCTTAGCAAAAAATATGAAGAAAACTCCTAGTGTGTGCATTATATAGGGATTCTATCGTAAATTTGTTGTTCTGGGACACTTTTGATTCGTATCTAAGGTGTTAATACAAGAAAGACTCTTAAATTGTTATAATAAATTCTATTTGCATAGTCTTGTCTTAATTAGATGTTGTGACTATTTTTGTAATAATTTTCAGGATTATGGTATTGATTTTGACGACGAAAGCCATCCCATCAAAGCATTCCGGTGCCGCTGTGGCAGTCCATTTTGCAGAGATACTAATCGCCAGTCCTAGTTAGGTGCTCGAAACTTGATGCAGATATTAAAAAAAAAGTTCTGTAGGGAATAGTTTCAGACTAGGCGCAAGGAATACTCAAAGGGAAGTTCCGGAAACATCTAAATGTCAAGGTATTTTGTGCAAAGAGGATTTTTTTTCCGTGGTTTTGTGGGATGTAGTGACAAATTAAGTAGTTGACATTTCAAGTAAGCGCGGTGAGTTCGCACCGTATGATTTAACTTCATTTGAGTTTGATGAAAGCTCGTCTTACAAACTAAATAAGTCGAGTTAAAACAAAGATATTTGCTTGGTAAGTTTGCGGATGAGTTCGACCTTTGTTTATGAGCATCCATGTAGTGTGTTTCTCTTACTTTTGATTATGTTTATATGTGTTTTGAGAATTCTAGGGAGAGCTATAAATGTTTGGAATATATGTTGCAAATCTATATGTGAAATGTTGTTTATTTGGGGTTTGGTTTAGACCTTTTGGTTTGAAAAGTAATTTGAAGGTAGAGGTGGACACTATGTTTGGTGATAAAGAAAAAAAAAAAAAAAAATTATAGGAAATTGATACAGTTGCATTCTGTGTTTATTTGTTACTCTCTCTGTCCCAATTCAATTGTCTTTTTGGGTTTTGCTGTAGATTAATAAGTAATAATATTTTATTAGTTACTGGAAGTGTGTGTTTAAATATAAAGTTATTATAAGTGTAATGAAATATTTATAGTTTAAGTAAAAGTTAAAGAATATTTTGGTATTACGGTATGATTATTTTTTCTAAAATAGAAAAGTAATGTTTAATGAAATAGTCATGGTGTTGATAGAGTAAATTAGCACGATGTTGATTTTTTTTTTTTTTTTTTTTTTTCAATCGATACATAGAAAACAGTCATACAACACGATACTTTTATTAATGCTTCCAATTAATGTGTTATTTATGTATTATGTTAATATAAGTTGTGTGTTGTGTGTCTCTATCGTGTTAGTTAGTCATGTGCTATATTTGCGTTGTTAATATAATTCATATGATATTTGATATTAGTCTTTACCTACTTTCTTTATTCTATGTAGTTGGTTATATGCTATATTTTTATACAATTTTTTTTTTAATTTTTTTATAATGTGAGAATTCGCAGTAGCTATCTTTCGAATGCGCTCCTGGTAAAATAAACAGGCCTCCGTTAAATTTATTCGCTTTCTATCAAAATAGTGAAGTTTCAAGCTAACTCCACAAGAGAAGCAATAGGAGAATATCCATGTCCATATCAATCCGGCCATAATCCACGATATCGATCCAAGATACAATAAAGCATCGATCCTTTAAGAAATTGATAATTTCAAAAACAACTCAAATAAATCAGAAAAACAAAAGAGATCCTATGAGATAGATGCCAATTTCTAACAAAATTATCAAACACACAAAAATTAACTTCGATCGTGAGCTTTAACTTCGTTGGAAGTGAAGAAAGCGAGCAAAGAATCGAAAGTCAGTATGATAAGATAATGAAAAGATAGATAAGACAACTATTGATGTTGTTCAACCTTACATGATAAAAATTAATACCTACCGGTACTCTTCATCCGTACGGGTGGAGACCTCGACGGTATTTTTAAATTTGCAACGGTAATCAAGATTTTTTTTTTATTATTATTATTAATATCATTGTTTCATGCAGTTTAAAACGAAACAAAACATCAATTTTAAAAATTTATATATATAATTATACAAGTGTGTTTATTTTGTAAATATGTATAATATATTAATTTTTTTATTTAGAAAATATGTGTTTTGTGTTTAACAAAAAGAAGGTACCCTAAATTTATATAATAGATAAAAAGAACGAAAAAAAAAAATCTAAACAAAACCTTAAATACTAATATGGAATAAAAAAAAATTCATATACTTTATTTATAATTAAATAAAGTTGCCACTGTGTGTTAGTTTTGTGAAATAATTTGAAGGAATATTTTTTATATAAAATATAAAAAATTATTTAAAATATATAAAAATAATCAATGTGTACTATATATTAATATTTTTATAAAAATATATTTATTTATTTTTGTTAAAAGAAGACAAACAAACAATGAATTCCGTTTGTATTTTTTGAACGAGTGATTTTGAAGGATCAGCAATATCCGGATTCTTATAAATTATAAATATTCTTTTTGTTTTTAATTATGACAATATATTAAAATTTAATTATGATATTATTATGACATATATATAATTTTTTGGCAAAATTGTCCATAAATCCCTATTTTACTTTAAAAAATTGTCTGACGCTCAGTTATACTTTAAAAATATTGCATAAAACCCCTGCCATGCAAAATATATAGATAGGAAATATCTTCTTTATCACACGAGGAAAGTTTCGTGGTGGTGGAGTTTCATGCAACGTTTTTTAAAGTATAAGGGGTACCATGCAATTTTTAAAGTACAGGAGATTTTACGCTGAATTTTGAAATCACACGGGGAGTTATAAACAATTTTACCTAATTTTTTTTATTTATTAAATATATTTAATTTATGTTTAAAATTATATATTAGTTTTAAGCAAACATATTTTCTATCATAGTTATTTTGTATTTCATTAATTATTTTTTTTTAAAATAAATTATATTTCAAATAAAATCAAAATATATTAAAGTGTATAAAAGAATTCTAAATGTCTAAAATAATAATTAAATATTTTCTCTGTTATTCAATTTTATTCTTGTTTTTTTGTAATTTACAAAGAGAATAAGAAACTGACGATAAAATATTTACTAATTAAATAATATTAGTGATATATTGTAATAATAATCCTTACATATTACTATTATAAGGACAAATATGCTTTTTGTACAAATACACAATAATGTATATTGTATTATTTTGTAGAATATATTATAATAATTTGTAGAATATATTATAATATTTGAGAATATTTTGTATTGTATTATTTTTTTAGAATATTGGTATTTATGATAGAATATTTTTGTCTAAGAATAGGACATATCTTATAGATGTTTTTACACTATATAAATCCACATTAGGGTATGAATGAATTCAAAACTTGCTTCTCTATTTTTTTATTTTTTTAAATAAAAATAAAAATAATTAAAATTTGAAATTTAAAAAAATAAAAAATAAAAAATTAATATTTAATTTGATATTTTATAAGAAAAAAAAATATTTAATATCACATTTTAAAAAATATTATTATAAATAATATAGCTTATTGTTTTAGGTTGTTTGAGGATATTGGATTCTTCGAAAGTGTTAAAAATCCGGATAGAGTACGGAGAAATTAAGAAGTAGCATTGTGGCAAAAAAAAAAAAAAAAAAAAGACATTTGTTAAAGAAACCAATTGACTTGACTAAACAAAAACTGGAAATCTTATAATAATAAGATAATGAAGGAATAAATAAGAAAAAGGAGGCTGTTCAACCTTATATGATAAAAATATGTGTTATTCATAATTTATGTCCTCATATTTGACCGTCTTTTTAAATTATATTTCTCTAATATTAATTTTGTAAAACATATCCTAATTTTTAATACTTACGAGTTAATACTTAGATGATAATTAGTTAATACTTACGAGTTTCTCTCTTATCTCTCTTCGTTAATATTTGTCTATTTTTTCTCTCCTGATGTTATATATTTATTAAATTTATATTATTATTATTATTATTATTATTATTATTATTTTGCATTAATTTAGTAATAGTATATAGTAATATATTTTTTTATATTTTATAAAGATATTATTTAATGAAAATATATATTAATTATTTTTTTTTAAAAAAATAAATTTTAAAACACTTAAATATATAAATTTTATTTGAGTGAAATTATTTAATTTTTATTATTTATAAAAAAAAAATTTCCCCAAAATAATATAAGATTGCATACACACCTATTTTTAATTTTATAATAAAATAAAAATTAATTTTATATTTAATATATCACATCAAATTCTTATTTCAAATAAAAATTGAAAACCTAAACATCAAACAAACACACAATTTTTTTTTTTTTATCAAATATATTAAATATATATTTTTTTACATAATCAATTAATATTCGTTATCATAATTATCATAATTATCATAATTTCCCTAAAACACAACCAAACATTCAAATATAACCAAGAATTCAAAAATTAAAGTATGTTTTGTCGCCGTTAGAAATATATTTAAAATGTGAAGAATTTTTTATATTTAAAAATTTTAAATTGAAACTTGAAATAAAATTTGAAATTATAATAATTATAATAACTAAAATTAATTGGTGATATAAAAAAAAATTATATTTAATATAGTAGAAAAAAAAAAAAACTTGTCTGTTTAGTTAGGGTTTTTGTTTTTAGTTTTGATTTAAATAGTAAAATTCTTAATTTAAATAATTGTGTGATATAATATAAATTAAATTAAATTACCCAAGTGAAATAAATGTATTAAATTATTATAAAAATTATATTTTTATAAAAATATAAATAATATATATTATTTGTAAAAAATATATTTATATAATACAGAAAATATATTATATATTATCAATGTAAATTAATGCAAAAATATTAAATAATAATAATAATAATAATAATAATAATAATAATATAAACTTAATAAATATATAATAAGAAAATAGAAGTAAGAGAGAAATATTAATGAAATAGATGAGAGAAAAATTCATAAGTATTAACTAATTACTTTCTAATTTATAATTAGACTATACTTGATGTTGATTAGTAAAAATTTGGAATATATTTTAAAAAAATAATATTAGAAGACATCATTTGAAAAGACGGGGCTGCAGCCCCTCACTCAACCCCACCACATCCTTTTATTTATTATTATATATATTTTTAAAATATGTATATATATATAATTGATTAAAAAATTATCAAAAATATTGAAAATTAAAATTTATTTAATTTAAATTTAAATTAATAATATTATTATTTAGTATGTATAATTTTAGATAAAAATATATTTTTTATTAAGATATTATATTAAAATGTTATTTAAATAAAAAAATTAAACATAATATTTAAATTAAAATTAAATCCAAATAAATAATTGTTGAAATGAAAAAAATTTTTTTTTATTAAAAGTAAAAATTTTTCTTAAAAATAAATATTTTATTCGTCAATTTCAAACAATAAGAAAAAAAATATATCTACAATATACAGTCAGTGTTATTATTTATCAATATTTTAAAAGACATTCAACAAGTGTAAATCATTTTGCAATTTACTGAGCAATGATTAATCCTAACAAATATGATAATTAGCATAAGTTTTAAAATATGACTCAAAAATATAATTAACCGAAAATAAATAAATAAATTGTCCATTCCAAAATTTGACCAAAAGGCCAGCTCAAGCGGGAGCCCAACCGAGGGAGAATACGGCCCACAAGAAGGCCCAGATCAATAAAATGCGTGGTCAATGGAGAAACATCATAATTTGAAAGAGAAAAGAGTTTGGGGAGGTTGGAGAAAAATAAGGGATAAGAGCCTTATTCAACTTAAACTTAAAGAATAAAAAGAGGAAGTGGAGAATTAGGAAGCAATCACATTCTTCTGCATTAATTTTTTTCTTTCTGCAATTTAATTTCCTGCATTACTTTCAGACTTCTACAGTTTTCTCCCGTTAATTTTAATTTAATTTTTCAGCATTCATTCCAATTTTACCTTCTTTCTTCGTTAATTTTTCGGTTATCGCGAGATAGCCCGGATCCTTTCTTGAGGAGGCCGGGGAACCCTACAATTAAATCAATTCCGACAGATTTTCGGTGGCGATTTTTTGACGACAACATATATATATATATATTATGTATAAATTAAATAAATTTTATTGTTTTCAAATATTAGCCCCCTTCCGGCTAGGTTTTGGTTCCACCCTGCCTATCGGGATTCTCGACCATAACTGGAATAGTTCAGAAAGATCTCACATTTGTGACTCATGCTTTATTGCGAATTTCAGAAACCCTAAACTCCTGAGTTAGTCCAACGTGTAAAAACATATTCTTACTTGGTTTCACGAACAGGTGCACATAGTTCATAAGAAAAAAACACAATTTGAATATTAATATTATATTTATACATGGTACAAATTATGAGAAAAAAATAAAAATATTATTTAAATATAATGATATTTTTTATGTTAAGTATGTAAATAAATAGATATTTTATTGAGAGACGGAGGAAAGAGTAATAAAATAGCTTTTGTGTTTGGATAACAAAAATAAAAAATAGTTACATTTTAATCAAATAAGGTAGTAAATGTTATTAGCGGGAAAAATGTAAAAATATATTTCCTCCGTTTATTAATTTGTAATATATTGAATTTCGACTATGAAATAATATTATTTTACGTGTATAAATATAACAAAAATAAAATAAAAAATTGGTAGATTGTTTTGAAGAACTATACTTACTAATCATGAATCTTAGATTGTTCTGTGGCTAAATTTAATTTAATGAAAATATATTTAGAACTCAGGCTTTATGCTCTAAGTTGCTATTTTTTTGAATGCACAATCCTAATATATATATATATATATGAGGAAACATTGTTCTTAACAACGATCGACCTACATGCATATATATCGAACTAACACATGTAATATTATATCAAGTTCAAAAACTCCCCTTAGACAAGAGATTTTTTGGAATTTCAAAATAATTGACAAGTATATGATGTAGTATTTTGTGAGAGAACAATATTTTCTAATGTTTTTAAAAAAATTAGAATAGTGCCAAACTCCCAAAAATGTTGCTAAACAAAGCCAGTGATCCTGAATTGTGCGCGCGTGTGTGTATATATATATGGCGGCGGCTACAGTGCTGAATCACTGCGCTGAGCAGCACACCATGTGCTAACGGACAACACACGGTGTAATCACAGACAGCACACAACATGCGTTAATATAATACAAATACAACAAATGAACTAACAACATATAATGTGTTCTCACACAACACATACAACCGTTGATCTTAACACATAATATACCCTCATACAACAGACGCTGTAGTTACGAACAAACAACACATGTCTTTGTTACAAACAACATATGTTGGATGTAATAAAAGGCATGTGATGTTCTGTTTCTATATTTTACATGTCTTTATTTAAGTATTTTGCTGATTTTCCAAATTTAGCAACGTAACCATTCCATATATATATATATATATAATTGATACATATGCATTGTAGACATACAATGTTTGTAGTATATTAAAATAATTATTGTGTATTTGTTCTTATATTGTATTGTTTGGTTTTATAATATGTATTTTGTGAGATTATATCATTTAACATAATTTATATATTGTATGATGTTTTGCCAACACTATCCTAAATTTTTATTATATATATAATTATCTCTAAAAAACCAACAAATTAAATATTTGTTTTTAATTTTTTATATTACATTAAAAATAATTTTATATTTAAAATATCACGTTAATTCATATTTATAATACATCGAATAACTATTCAATATTTAATATGATAGGCTATTTGGGGCATTGATCCCGTGTTGATCCGACGATCGAATCAACATAAATGATATATGTAAACAATATATATTATACATATTTCACATCAGCATATGCTATGTTATATATGATTGGGTCAAATCAATATTTATTTATTAGGCTTTTATACAAATTTTTAGTATTCGCAAAAATAAAATAAATTAAAAAAATCAAATCATACACTTATATGTTTGTATATATATATATATATTAAAAATTATATATTTAAAAGATCAAATTTTAACACGAAATATTCGACTCCGATATCATATTAATTAATCGTCTCACTTAAATTAAATTTAAAGAGATATATCATCGACTCCCTCCGTCCGGGAAATTTAGCCCATTTTCCTTTGTATTTTTACAAAGAAGTGGGATTAAATTTCCCAGACGGAGGGAGTATTTAGTTAATGATAACTCTAATATTATTGCTAACATTGTAAAACTATGAAATTAAATCACAAGCTTTCAACGAGTTTTAAATGAACTTGAACAGCTAAAGCTCCAGACAAGTTTGTAGATTCATTTTGCACGCTATCGGAGTTCTCATGTCATAAAAAAATAAAAAAATAAAAACATAAAAAAAAAACCGGTATATATTCATTATACATCTATATTTTGCAGTCTCTTATTATCATAGCGAAGTATTTTGTCTATACATCCCAAGTAATGATCGAAAACAAAACCTCTTCGCTATACAAAATCATGTCTAACTCTAAATGTCGAAGAAACTTTCACACCCAGTCTAAATGTATTATTGCCTATAAAAGAACATTCGGTAATTCCTACAAGTTTTCGAGTACCTGTGGCTATGGCGACTGACGATGTCTATCTCTACAAGAATCACAACCACAGCAACATTGGAAAGGCCTAATGTGATCGGTGTCCTCGTCAAAATCAATCCCATAATCCTGGAATTCATTATTTTCAAATATGTCAAGGCATGGGACGATGTAACTAGAATTTAGTATAACTATTTGGAACAAGGACAATAACTCGCAAAAATAATTAGGCATCAAGTCGCTATATAAAAATAGAAACTCGAAACAAAGAAATAAAAGAGGCGCGACTCCTTAAATTTGTTCCAATGGCAGTAACAAGAATTTAAGGATGGACGCCGGTTTTTAACCAATGTATTAAAAAAGATCGTAAAATCAAGAAATGCGTGCTAATTAATAACCATTGAAACACTCACCCAAGTAAGCTCTTCTTTAACTTCGACTTCCCTCATAGTGAAGAAAGCAAGCTGTGAAAAAAAAAAAAAAAATCAGTTCGCGATGTATAACAAAATAATGGGAATAAGACAACAAAGGAATCCATCCTTACATGATAATATTTCTTATCGAGACTCTCCACCTGAACCGGGATCCCGATGATATTTGCATCGCAGCAACTGTTATCAAGCCAAAAAAATTTCGAAATTATATGAACTTTATATATAAATGCTTTCTAATCTAAAGTATACGACGTTTTTATGCACTATCGTGTTAGTTTACATAATGCATGTTATATTAACATGTGACATAAAATTAATCGTAGCATGTGTTGTGTGGACATTATGTGCTGTTAGAATTTTTGTTATTTTAACATGCAATGTTGCGTTGAAATCAATTGTGTAACTATCACCGTATGCTGATTATAGCAAATCAACACGATTAATTATAATCTCCGCTTTCTTTCACATATAAGTCTAGTTTGAGAGTTTATAATCGAAAAGAAAACAAAAGGAAACATAGATTTATAATAAAACACTTTTATCCACTCACAATATTATTATCCATAATTTAACAAATAATAACAATTTCGCCGACTTACCCCGTATATTTTAAATCATTTTCTAAATAAATTTGTCGTAATTCCCCACTTTATGTTTTACGTTTTTTGCTCTAACATTAAAAACTACACATGCCAACCACCATCTAAACCGTGTAACACATTATGCTACACACATGATATTCATATAAATCGAATGCAGAAGACAATATAGAGGACAAAGATCATATTCGACAGATATGATTGTAAGTATATATCGAAGCTTACCTGTGATTGATAAACCTTCCGACGTTTCCATAATGTGTTGCATCCAACCACAGTGCATCTTCATCTCTTAGAACACCTTCTGTATTCCAACCTCCGTCGAGTAGCACTTGATATTCATGCTTCTCATTCCCGGCATTTTGCTCATTTCTTTCACACTTCTCTCTGTTCGTCAAGATCTCTCCAGCATATTCGCAAACAAAAGCTCCTGCAGGTAACTTTTCGAGTGTTCTTAAACCCCAGCCTTTACCTTCACTTGTCAAGAACACCTGAAATACAAATTAAGTGTGAAGATGGACTATTTGTAATCACAATTTCGAAGAATGGCATTTTATGTAAAGCAGAGATTCATAACTATAATATTTCAGCAAATTACAATAGAATTAAACAGAAACAAAAGTTATTACCCTTTAACATTACGCATATTTCTAAAATACAGACTCAATCAATTTATCTAAAATATTTTCACACTTTATTAACTCATTTATATACATATCAAAATACTTTTACTTTATATCGCAATCAACTAATATTATACTATATTCATTAAAACTCGTATCTAGGTCACATGAAATTTCCCAATCTCCCCCTCTTAAAACCCAAGTATCATACATGCACCCAAAATAAAGAGCCTTGAAGAATACCTAAAGTCGTGGTCATTTACTTATTTTATTTCGATCTTTCCATAATTCCATATATTAGGCTTTCTAAGAGATCGAAGATGATGTAACCAAAATCTTCCAAAGATTAGCGGAACCATGAAACCATCTGAGAGCATTAGTTGAGTAACACTACTCCTATTATAACTATACTTTGTCCCTTAGCAGCATTTAAATCAAGATCGAGTTAGAAGCAGTGTTAGATATCGGCCTTCATTTTGGAAATCAAAAGAAACATATGCATAGATACAAAAATGGTTTATTCACCCTTTTTTTTTGTTGGAACGATTCTTAGCGAATATTACTAAAAAGTATAATATATACACATTAACACAATATAATATATATATATATATATATCTAAAGCGAAGGATGAAAAATGACTAACAGGGCTAGAAGATATATACTAACCTGTAATTTCCTCGTAATACCGAGCTGAACAACTCGATTTCCACAGCTCATACTGCAGTTGCATTTTCTCCAGCATTCTTTGGTGAACCTCATCGGCTGATGTCCCTTGCAATTCTTCGTCGCGCCACCATCTTCGGCTTGTTCCAAAGGGCAGTCCCGACAATAGAACTTGTCTTCTAAGCCAACCTTCACTATGATGCAATATCCCAGAAACGCCCCGGTTAGAAGACCCTCTGAGGTATAAGTATAGCCTCCACTAGAGTCATGAGCACAAGCACATGGCATCCCGGACAAGACACAAATTCCTTTGCCACATTTACAACAGTCCTCGGCCGAGATATGGGCTAATGATACACGTACATTCGCAGATTTGTAAGTGATGTTCTCCGGGCAGTAGATGAAATGAGGCAGAGCCTCAGTGCCTGCCTCGTCAATTAGCATAATCTTCACATTTTCAGTTCCATTTGCTATGTCGTCGAGTTTATGGAATAACTGTTTCCCGTCGCTACATGAACCTGCAGAACTCATTGTCTCTTCCCTCAGTTCCATACCTTCAGGATTATCTCTTGCATCATCTTCTCTGGATTCTGAAGATCGATGACCACCATCAATGATGACAGATTCCCGAAATTCATCACACAATTCGTTCAATAGTTCTACAAGAGAAAAATGACTTCCCAAGTTCATATAAAAGTTCTGGCTATGAAACTCTAAAAGCCTACGGGCTTCAACTGGTTCCGGAAACTTAAAATCGTGCGGCTTCGGATGGAGCCATCTTAAGGAAACTTTCACATCTCCAACTTCCGATGAAGCTATGTCGATCAAAGTTTGATGATCATCAGAGACATCTTCTTCTTCAGTTTCTACATCCATATGCTCTGCAAAATCATCTTCATTTTGAACATCTCTCAGCTCCTCGGAATCATTTTCCTCATTTTGCACATTTAACTTCACGGAATCGATTGAACCTAAAAGATCGAAAACATCACATTAAATATCATTTAACACATTCCAAGTTAGCAGTTGAGAAGGAAGATTGTATACTCTCGATAAAATTTTCTAGTAGCAATCGATATTACTTCTAAGGAAATTGTAATTAGATATATGACACAAAAAAAATCACGAGCTTCAGATTTAACATAATTGCATGTGTAAATGGCCTAAACTAGTCGTAAGTAAGTGCCTGATCTAACACGAGTGAAACTCATACAATCCAAGCTTCACAAGTAGTTTCTTTGTTATTCAAAAATACTTTGAATGCCCTTAGCCAGTACCTGATTGAATCTGCTCATCCTTCGAAAGCCCTTGTGGTTCTTTCTCGACTTGATGTTCCACATCCTCATTAACTGCACCACCTTTTTCCTCAGCCATTTGCTAAACACGAAACATGAAGAAAGAAAGATTAACTGTGCCATTCTATTGGAAAGATGCAGAGGAAATCGAAATATCCAAATCCACAAGACAGGAAATAATTCCACCAATTCTAACATAATAAAAACCTTATTTCGAAAGAAAATAGCAACTGTAACTAAAGACCTTATTGCCTGCATCAGCCAGCGAACGATTATTATCCTTTCCAGCCGCCAAGTCCATTTCAGGCTCCATCACGATGATCTTTGTAGTCTTAGCTTACAGTGATTCAGATTTAACGTTTGTAACACCTAAGATTCATCGAATAGAACAAACAGAAAGATGATCAATAAAACATGATGAACTAACACAAATCATTCCCAAACATACTAATTTTCAGCACCGTGATTGATGTGTACAAAAACAACACAACAGAATCTAATATTTATGCCACTCATTGATCTCATGTCAAGAAATATGAATTAAAACTATCCGTAGTAATATTTCAACTCAAGAATCATAGTATGATGAATCTTTCTTAAACGATGCATTTCTTGCTACGCAGATGAAACAAGAGATTAAACTCAAAAAATGTTTCACTCAATGCCATGTCAGATACTTTTAACTCCAGAATGGATTGTTCGCCTGGTTCAACCAACATTCGAAGGCCATTTCATCTAAACATTTCAACAATAATTTAAACACGAAAATCGTTAAGAATTGTATAATAACCAGAATCTCAATCAAAATTGAGGCAAGATTACTTAACATATGCATACTGTAAGTCCATTCTTGGTCACTAATTATCAAATAAAAAAAATCCAACTTATTCTCGAAGAAACCAAAATCTCCAAAACAGAAAAAATAATGGAATACAAAATTCCATTACGATCAAGCCTAAGAAAGGAATTCACTGTTCACATGCGAAGAAATTTAAAAGATAATAATTCCACCATTGCTACTGAAGAAAAGAACGTCAGGATACTGGAGAAGAAGAAATTCGAATTCTGCTACTTTACAAAGTCGATTAAGTCGAAATCATGAAACTATTTCGACCTGCCATAGCCATACATACCAGTAGTAGAGCGAAAGTGTCGACAGCGTAGAATGAACTTGGAGGACGCCATTAAAATGAATGAAGGTGCGAAGAATGGTGTATGAGTGAACCGTTTTGTGGCGGTTACCAAATGGCACGTGTATTTGTTTTTTTGCCCGCGTTTTTTTTTTTTTTGAAATAATTTTAAAATTAAGTTTTTATTTTCGTTAATTAATTAAAATTGTATAAATATTAATAAAATATTTATTTTGGTTGTTTTTAAAATATTTTATATTTTGAGGGTCTGTTTGGTTGGTTTTCAGGCCAAGTTCCCACTATGCTCTAATTTTTTTCTTAAAATATTACATTATATCGGACTCACTTAAATTTTATTTAAAATATTTTATTTTTATCTTTTATTTTTAGTAAATAAATATATTTATATCCATCCAAAACACTCTATTTATTTGCAAATTAATTTATATTAATCATAAATAAAAATTTATATTTTTTAATATATTTGTATTATATAAAATTTTATTCTTATAAAATGATGTTTATATTATATATTTTATTAAAATATAATTATTAAAATAATTAAATATATATTTTTAATTTTTTAATCTTATATATTACATAAATATTAATTAAATAAATTATATCTAACCCAACTTTAATTCAATAATCCAACAGATAAACAAACATTATTTTTATTTGGTGTTTTTAGAAAGTGAACAATCACTGGGGTGGCTTTGTTCCAGGGTTTGAATTTGAATTTTTTTACTGTAAAATTTAAATTTGAATAATTATATGATATGATATAAATAAGTATTGAGATAATATTTTAAATTAAAATTGATTTTTAATATAATAAAAAAATAAAAAATATATTTGATTGGATTTTGTGCTAAAGTATTTGATAAAACAGTTGTTGAATATTAGTTGTTTATATTTGATTTTTAAAATATTTAATTGCATTTTTCGGTGTATAGGATTTTTTAAAAAAATTGTTATTAATTATTGAAAATTATGAAAATTTTATTAAAATACTTGTATAAGTTGTACGCGAGTTTTAATAAATATAGTTATATATATTGGTTTATTGTGACATAGCGTATAAATATTTTATAAATATTTTAAAAAATATACAATTGAAGTAATGAGGTGAGACAAAATTTTTAAATAAATTGAGTGTTTAAATAGTTGCCGTATATTTGTAAATATACATAATGTTGAATAGTATAATTTTAAAAATGTGTTCGTATTTTCATTTTTTCTATAGATAAAATTGTGTATTTTTTTTTTTTTGGACAAGTAAAAGGAAAAGATAAACAAATATTCCCTCTTGTTAAAAAAAATAAAAATTATGTTTTTGATCGGGCAGAAATTTTAAAACAAAAATTAGTAAAAATATAAATTATTTTCTATAGTAAAAAAATTACAAAAAATAGTATTTTTTTATGACAACTGAGAAAAAAAATGAATATAAATCTGAATAAAAAAATAAGTATAAATTTAATATACATGAAAAGACTTAAGATAAATTGTATGTTGTATATTTAATTATTATATATTGTTCAATTATATTGAAGTGCCATCAATATCCAAATAAATATATTAATATACTCCCTCCGTTCCAATACAATAGTCTTGTTTACCATTTTTTTTCGTCCCAAAACAATAGTCTTATTTTCATAAATAACATGTCACCGTAAAACTACCTCTATTTTTTCATTTTTATTGCACAATTGCCACCATTTTTACACTAATACACTCACAAGGACAAAAAAGTCTTTTATCCATATTTTTTACCCACTATCAATATAATATCAATATTCTTTAAATTTCGTACCCAACCCAATTAAGACTGTATTTATGGAACGAAGAGAGTAATATATATATATTATGATATTGGAATTCGCAGCGGCTATTTTTCGAATAAATCACGACCCATCTTAATTTAACATATTAAAATCAGCCTACATTAATTGTGAAGAAATCATTCTCTAGAAGCCATCGAACTATCGGTATATAAATATTCCTTTTCCACAATTCTCAGAATTAGGTAAAAGTTAGGCACGAAAAATATCATACTCCCCAAAACAGAAAGAATTGAAAATTGCCATTATTATTATTTTTATTATTATTATTATTATTATTATTTATAAAGAATAAAAAAATAAAAATTCCCAACAGAAAGTTAACGACGAATGCCTTTAAATTAAAGAAATGAATCCATTATTACATTCATCATAATTCTTACATGGAAAATTCATCTTTCATTCTCCACCTCGTACTACTAATCCTATATTTTCTTCCATTTTCTCGATTTCAATTTCGGCTTCGATTTGTTTCTGCTGACATAAACAATCACGAGTTGATATTCAATCAATGTCCGAATCGGACATCTCCCTCTGCAAATCCCTTGCATTCTCGACTACTTCCCGGGTTGTTTCAAGAATTTGTCGCTAGGTCGTCCGAAGCCCACTTCTTCAAAACCATAGTTGGCGATGATGAATTAGCCGTTTCCGGAACCTTTCAATGTAAGAATGATTTGAGCCCCGACGAGTGCCGGAGGTGCGTGAGAAAAATCGAGAGTTTGTCCGAAGATTTGTGTGCTCGAACATTACCGGCAAGAATCCACCTCTCGGGTTGCTACGTACATTATCAGGTGTAAGCCAACACTTTTCTTTGATACTGTCTTTGTCTCGCATATTTTATAATAATTTTTATTTTGGTCTTATCGTATACCTGCAATTTTTTAAAATAGAAATTAATTAATTATACTTTATTTATCACATTATTTAAACAAAAAAAATGAATACATATATTTTTTTCATCATATCATCTAATTTCCACTTTTTTCTATCCATATAAATTCTCGAATTAAAATATTGCACCTTATATTGAACGCATTTATTAGCCGAGAGCAAAGGCAGATTTAAAAATATTTTTCAGTTGTGTCATGATATATAAATTTAAAATAATATAAAATAATAAGTAATTACTTATAATATAGAAAAATACTGGGGTGTGTTTTTTTATCATATTTTTCTCGATTTTTATTATTCACCAAAAAAATTTTCAAAAAAATCAAATTAAACATTTATTATTTATTTTTTATATTATATTAAAAATTAATTTTACGTTTAAAACATCACCTCAATACCCATTTATATCACATTATACAATTATTCAAATTTAAATTTCAATAGAAAAAACCCAAACCTCCAAACAAACACATATAATATGATTTTTTATATTTATATTTATAAGTATGAAATTGTTGATGTAAATAAGTATAATTTTTTGTAAGAATATTAGTAATATACAGTGGGTTGGTTATACATAAAAAAATAAAAAAATAAATAAAATAATTAAAATTAAAATTAAATTAATATTTTCTATTTGGACAATAGAAAAGGGCAAATATATATATATATCAAATGGACGGAGGGAATAAATATTCTTTTATTAATATTGTAAGGTCTACACTTACTAATATTGAATACAAATTAATTTAATGAAAATAATTTTCGAACTCGAGCTTTATACATATGTAATATTCTATCAAGTTCAAAAATTTTAAGCATGTCGAACGCCAGGTCGACAGTGGCGACAATTATGATCCGGTTCAACTTCTCCACAAAACTTGCGGCGAACGTGTAGTGAACAAGTATAGATTTGATGCGATGAAATATAAAGCGCTCGTCGCCTTGGAAAGTTGTGTTATTAGCGGAAATGGTTTTTGCGACATGAATTACGAATCCCTCAATGTGGTCGCGCAATGTGCCGGGAACTTACAAAGAGTGTGCGATTGTAGCGGATGCGTAAGCGACGCCGTGCAAATTGCCGTCGACGAGTGCCTTCACTCGGATTCGGCCGAGGTTTATTTGAATAGTTGTTTCGTCACGTTTCATTACTATAAACATCGGGGCTCCTTGCTCCAAGGTACGTACAATTTTATTATTGTTTTTATTATTATTCTCTCCGTCTAATTAATTTGTCTCATTTAGTGTAGGTACGGAGTTTTAGGTATTATGTAATTAATAAGTAATTAAAAAATATATTAACGAAAACAATTATGATTTAATAAAAATAATTATAGATTAAGATGACTTAATAGTTTAATTAAAATAAAAATTGATAAATTATGAATTTTAAAATACGAAAGTGTATAATTATATTTTCAAAAAAAATGACAAATTATGTGGGACGAAAATAGAAATAGTGGACAAATTAAGTGGGACGAGAAGAGTATCATTTATGAAAAAGCTATACTACCTCTATTCAAACTTATGCCTGACTTGTCTTTTTTTTTTTTTTTTTTTTGTCATAAAAAATATTCTTATATTCTTTTTAGTAAAAAAATACTATTATTTTCTATTTTGTTTACTACAGAGGTGGAAAAATAAACATTTTCTTATTCATTTTTTTTTAAAAAGTTTGTGTTCGATTAAATGGGCATAAATTTAAATGATGAAGGTAGTAATTTTGCATCGTTATATTTTGTTTGTTTAAAGGATTTTCCAACATTTCAATTATTTTAAGAAAAAAACTAAAAAATTAAATTAAATATTTTTTTAAATTTTTATATTATTTAAAAATTAATTTTATACTCACAATATTACATTAATATTTATTTACATCATCTTATATAACTATTTCGATTCAATTTTTATATTATTATTTAAAACTCAATTCATAATTCACAAATATCGCTTCTTCAAAAAAGAGAAAGAGATACAGTGAATATACTTGTATATTTTTTAGAATTTTTTTTTACTGGAATTATAATGGAAAAAATGAATGTAATAGTTCTATTTTTTGTTATTCTTTAATGATAATATTTATGAAAAAAATTAATTTTTTTTCTAAAAGTATGATAATAAATATTTAAATTTTGTACTATTTTTTAAATTTTAAAACTCTAAATTTTTCCATGAAAATCGAATATAATAGTATATTTGTAATTTATGTAAAAAATAAGTATTTAGCATTATTGTATAATTAGTTTTGAATGGAAAAAAAAATAGTAAAATATACTCAAATAATATTTTTATTTTGAATTTTAAATTAAAGTAGAATGATGGTAAAAAAAAAAATAAATATATGGGAATTAATAATATTTGTGTAAATAAATAAAATTTTAATTAATAAAAATTTTTAAAATTAATTACACTTTTTTATTAAATATGATACGAACATAATTTTTTAGAGAAAAAAAATAATAAAATAAACATACTTTTACAAACAAAACAATAAAAACTTCATTGAGGACGAATGTGTTTTTTTTGTCAAAAAATAAAACACCAACACATTTTACGTCTAAAAAATTAATATATTAATATACTTATTATTTCTATATTATCTATAGAATTTTTTATATCTTATACAAAAACATTCTTGCAAACTATTTCACAAGGCAAACACATCCGTCGCATAACTCTAAAATTAGATATAATTTTTTTTTTTATTACTTACATAATTCTCTATAATTCACGTAAAAAAAATTATTCGAACACGCCCGTTAGTTAAGTAAACTTTAAATTATATACTCCTTCTGTCTCATTGAAAGGTTACCATTTTCCATTTTCGTCCGTCTTAAAACAAAGTTACAATTTCCTAATTTAGTAATTGTATTACCTACTTCACATAATAAATACCTTTTCAACTTACAATATATTACACAAATGTCATTACTTTTATATTACACTATACTAATAGGGGTATTTTTGTCTTTTTTTACTACAATTCAATATAATACTAATATTCAAAAATTTACGTGCAAAAAGCAAACGCCATCTTTCTTGCGGGACAGAGGGAGTACGGTGTGTTTTTTTATTCTTTTATTTTCTTTTATGACGTAAAATTGGATATGGTGCTGACAGTTGATTCGATTGGTCGCAGGTAAAAATTCAACTAAAGTGGTAGCCATTGTTGTTGGGGCTTTAGCTGCTGTTATAGTTTTATCATCTTTATGCTATTGCCTAAGGTCATGTAATAAGGAACAAAAATAAATAATTATATCGAATTTGTATTGTGTACATTATTATTATTATTTTATTATAAAAAAAAATGTTGATTTATTTTTACGTCTGTTATAAAATATATATATATATATTAAGCAATTACTAATACAAATTTATACTTTTTTTTTTTAAATTACTATAAATATATATATATATACCGCGTCAGAATTTGTGTCTAAATTAAAATGAACACATTTTTATAACACATAAAGAGTATTATATATAATTAGGTCTTACTGTATATGTGTAATATATAAATATGTATGCTCTGATGAAATAAAATAGGATAAATTATATAATACCTCATTTTGTTTTAGTAAAAATGCATAAAACATCACGTGTTTTATTTATTACGTGAAACCTCCTTGTGTTAATATAAAGTTTGCATGAAACGCCCTCCTTGTCCAAAGGTTATGTTTGATTCTAAATAAAGACAATAATTATGCAAGTTTTATACAAATAAAAAATAAAAAATATTTTAAATATTTTTTTGAATAAAATAAATAAATAAATAAATAATTGATTAATCCTTCGTTTTATAATTTTTGGGAGACAAATTATTATTTAATTTTTATAAAAACTATAAAAATAAATGATTTAATCAATTATTTATTTATTTATTTTATTCAAAAACTTTTTTAAAATATATTAATTTTTTATTTACATAAAACTTGCATAATTTAGGTCCTTATTTATTACTACCAAATATCAATTTTGAACAAGGAGGTTGTTTCATGCAAATTTTATATTAACACAAAGGGGTTTCACCAATTAAATAAAATCCGAAGTATTTTATACATTTTTACTAAAATACAAAAAAAATGTGAAATAATTTACCCAGTAAAATATTACTATATAGACTATCAAAGGACGAATAGAGTGTTGACCGAATTCAATCAGCATCTTGTTAATTTGACTTGGACAATGCATAGAATAGAGGTGAATAATACATGTTAATATAATGATGTGTTATATAAAAACATTGTTGCTTAGTTTATATTGCATTGTGTTGTACAAATATATTTTTTTATGCTGAAATTAATAATTTATTGTGTAAAATTATATTATGGGTTGTCAAAATATGTACTCCCTTCGTCATTCAAATATATGCTCAACTTTTTTTTTCGGTTGTCATCGAAAAATATTCTTATTTTCTTTTTAAGTAAAAAATTATTACACTTTTGTACTGTTTTTTACTATAAAATGAAAATTAACAATTACTCCATCCGTGTCTTAACAATCTATCCATTTTTCCATTTTAGTCCGTCCCATAACAAAGTATCAATTTTTTTTTTTTAATAATTGTACAATCTACCTAACATTACAAATACCTTTCCAATTTATAATATATTACACAAATATCATTACCTTTATATCATACAATACTAATATGGTTAATTTAGTCTTTTTACCTTTATTTCTACTTTATTTCAATATAATACTAATAATTCTAAAACTCCGTGCAAAAAACAAATTGATATATAGATATGAGACGAAGGGAGTATTAGTTATTTTTATTAAAACTCGTGACTGGTCAAATGAGCACACATTTGCATGACGGACGGAGTATTATGGTTGCAAATTCTGTGTTAATCCGAATAAGTCAGCATTATGTTGATTTGTCTTGTCTGAATCAACATATGCTACAAGAGTATGTTGGTGTTATAAGATAACATATGTTGAATTATAATATAATATATATTATACAATAGATATGATTGTATAAGTATATGCTAGTCATCCCTATAGCGCTATAGAGGTTGATATATATTTATACATATTTCAGCATATAATGTATTATAAGATAGCACAAATTGAATCATAATATAATATATATTGTATTTATTATGTATTATATATTGCATTATTGATTTTAGTTTTTTCTTAATATTGTAAATCATACTTCAGAACAAGGGATTATGTAAATCAAAACCAAACAAGCTATTCTAGCCCAACCTCATTTTTTTAAAACTTTATTATTTGATGTTCAAGAGAATTACATAAAATTATTATTTTACCTAAAAAATAGGGTAAACTGTTTTTTTAGTCCCGTAACTGGACCCTTATCATTTTAGTCCCGTAAGTGGAGTCTGTCGCAAACTAGTCCCATAAGTGAAAAATTTTTGTTGTTTTAGTCCTTCGGCGTCGGAGATGCCCGCGTGGCTCGCCGGAGGTGACGTGTCCACCAAGTGTCGCTGAACTGGCAGACACGTGAATTTTTTTTTTTTTTCATTTTTTAATTTTTTTTAAAACTTATTTTTAATTTATTTTAAATTTTATTTGTATTTTTTTATTTAGTCCAATTAAAAAATTTTAAAAAAATGAAAAATAAATAAATAAATCCACGTGTCCGCCAGGTGCCGCTGACCTGGCGCCGGAGGACTAAAACAACGAAAATTTTTCACTTATGGGACTAGTTTGCGACAGTCTCCATTTACGGGACTAAAATGATAAAGGGATCCAGTTACGGGACTAAAAAAACAGTTTACCCTAAAAAATATACTTCGTAAATATATTTCGTCCGTCTCATTCTAAGGGTATCATATATTTATCTTTTGCGTCCGTCTCATTATAAGGGTATTATATATTTATCTTTTACGTCATTGTACTTAACATTAAAAATATTTCTATATTTGTATAATTTTTTGCACAAATATCATTATAATAATATTATAAGACACTAATAAATATTTTTGTCAGTTTCCCTTAATTTCTACTATATTTTCATATAAAAATTAATATTCAAATATCACACACAAAAAGTAAATGAGACTTTATAATTGGACAATATAAGTACATAAAAATAAATTCAATATGTACATTATAAACTGTAATATTTCCTAAATCTAAATATTTTTGTTTTATTTCTTTTTAACCCTTTAAGTAATATATAATCTTAATAATTTTTTTTTTTGTTATTTTGTGATTATTTTTTATTTAAAATTATTCATAAATTACATTAAGTACATTAAAAAAATAAAATGTGTCTATATATAAATAAAATATATATATATATAAAAACATTGAAATTTTTTAATTATATTTTTAATTTATTTACACTTTCGATCTCCCGGCAAGTTTTCCGGACATATATTCATCCATAATTCAAGACACACCATATTCATCTATTTTCTTGCATATCAACAAAATCCTACACCTAACAATCTTTTTCTTTTCTTTCTTCTTTCATAATTTTAGTCGTCGTCGCCGTTGCCGCTGCTGTCGTAAATTAATCCCTAAAACGGCCGCCGCAATGGCGAACGGCGCCCACTCCCGAATCCTCGAAATCACGATCATATCAGCACAGGATCTGCCGCCAGTATCAAAAATGTTGCGCACCTTCGCGGTCGCCTACGTCAACCAAGACAACAAAATGTCGACGCGGATCGACCGCGAAGGCAACACCAACCCCACATGGAACCACAAGATGGCCTTCCGTGTCGACGTCGACGACGACGACCTTTTCAAGAACGATCCCGCCGCCGCCGCCGTCGTCACATTCGAGATCTACAATCTCGCATGGCTCCGCGACCTCCCCGTCGGGACGGCCCGTCTCGCCCTCAACCAATTATCCCCAACCCTACACAAGAATCCCGCGTACCGACGCGTTTCTCTCCGAATCGCACGCCCGTCGTCGGGGCACCTCAAAGGAACTCTCAATCTCGGGGTCCAACTCGTCGATCCCGAGACAACCCCGACGTGGAATTTACGAACGAAAAGTGTCGTCGACGAAATTCAAGACACGGCTCGAGAACGAGTGGAGACTAAAACACGGCCGTGTCTGATGACACAGAATACGAAAATGATCGATCCCGACGAGATGTTCGGATCGAATAATCGTTCCTCGCCGTGGGAATTAGGGGTTTTTTGCGAGAGAAAAGGTTTCGAATCGGGGGATTGGAGCGAGTACCGGAGCTCGATTTTCGACGATTTAACTGAAACCGTCGGAACTGAAATCCGGGAGAAGAAGAGAAAGAAAGGGTTGTTGTCTTATTTGTTTTGTGGATCAAATGTGAAGAAGGAAAAGAATATGAAGGGGTTTTATGTTTGAGTTGGAATCTTTTCTTACATTAGCAAATTCTCGACAATGCTCGAATATTGTTGCCTAATGGGTTAAGTTAGCTCATCGTGTGGATCGATCAATCATTTTCTGTCATGTATATTTTTAAAATAATAAAATAATAAAATAAATAATTTATTAAATCATTTTATGTCATGTGTATTTTTAAAATAATAAAATAATAAAATAAATAATTTATTAAATACACATGACAGAAGATAATTGATTGGTACACAAAAGGCGCGATTTAATTTATCGAGGGTTTGGATAATTAAATCCGTCGCCTAATTTGGCTGAAATTCGAATGCTATAAGATTCTTTTCTTGATTTTTTATTTTTATTATTATTTTTAAGTTTTTAATTTTGAGTTTGATAGTTATAAGTATTTATGTGAGCTGTAATTTTATTTTTTTATTTTATTTTTTTCGAGTACGTATAGGATAAACTTATGGATCATTAGTTAATAGAAAGTTTGTTCGTTTAATATGTAAATTTTTAATAAATTTATATTCCGTTAGTAATTTTTTTTTTCTTTTTTTTTTTTCGGGTGATGGGACAATTTATAGTATCTGCAAAAATTATGTTAGTTTTTTTACTCCATCCGTTCGGATAATTTATCCGCTTCACTGTAGACACGAGAATTTAGGAGGGAGATAAATAGTAAATAATTAAAAATATATTAGTGAAAATAATTATCGTATAATAAAAATAATTATAAATTAAGATTAAAATAACTTATTAGTATAATTAAAATAAAAATATATATATGAAAATGTGGGACGGAGGGAATATTATTTATGGTTAGTTAAATTTATATATAATTTATTTATAATAAAATATTTTATCCACTCAATTTTATATTTTTATTTTAACAAATAATAATAATAATAATAATAATAATATTATGTTAGTTATTATTATTGTTATTGTTATTTCGCAATTATTTTTTAAAATATTGAAATTTGATAATGTTATTTTAAATAATTAGATAAAAAAATTCATTGAAATATAAATGTATATTAAACCATTTGAATATGACTTAAGTAACACGGGGCAAGACAATGTTCAAATATGGTCATATTTAAATGTTTAAATAGTGTTGTATTGATTGTTTGCAAAGATTAATATTTTTTCGTCTCAATCACTTACATTTTGTCCCATCATATCATCTTATTAATATATATATATATATTTTTCTCTCTATTATATTATTTAATTTTTAAATTATTTTACTTAATTCTTCGAGAGGGATGGAGCATATTTTTAAATTTTTTTAATATATTCATCTTGAAGTGTAAGCTATAATAAAACATATTTGATTAATTTTAATTTAAATGAAAGAAAAATTGACCAAATATTTATGTACTAAAATTCACTATTGTGTTTCTCAACGGGACAAAAATATTTTTTTTCTCTGAAATTTTTATTAGAATAAATATAAATTAAATAGTAGAAATTTAATTTTAAATCAAAATTAAATAAATATTACTATGATTCAGTAAAATTACATACTCTTTGTCCAGAATAAATTGAAAATCAGGTGGTGTGATAAAAGAATTTATTATTATTATTTGGATTATGTGATTGAATAATGTGTAGTTAATTATTTTAATTTTAAAAATATTGCAATGGAATATTATAAAGGCAAAAATGCTTATATCCACAAGTGATTTAAAAGTATGTCCCGTAACAGATAGCCTGGCAGTTTGGGGTGAACTCGTAATTATAAGATTATGGATTAAATCTCGTCTCCAGGCCTCGCTTGCACTCGTCGAGTAATGATTACGAGTGATGAAATACAATGTAATTATACACTACATTCTAACCCTCTACATATAATATACTTATTCCCTCGTAGTAAAAATGAACCTTTTGACACGACATTTTAATAGCGTAAATTAGTAAGTTATTAATAATATGTTATAATATTATGTTATTATTTTTTATATGAGCGTGTTAGTACTTTTAATATTTTTAGAATTATATTTCATAGATAATAAAATTCTATATATAATACAAATAAATAAATAAAAACTATATTTACTTATTTATAATTAACTTAAAAAACTAATTTCATAAAAAATGAAAAGTTTTAAATATAGATAAAAATATATATATGTTTATTGAGGAAAAATGTAAAAATAAAAAGGTAAAAAGTTACAAATTTAATTAAATTGATTTATATTTATTAAATATATTTAAAATAAATAAAAAAATTATTTGTGACAAGAAGATGGACAAATATATTGTTAGTATATTCTATCAAATTATAATTTATGCGTTAATAAAAAAACTCATCAGTTTAGTACAAACACCTAATCATTCCCATACAAAATACTTTCACTATCATCCAAAGCTCATTTAATCGGACACAAATTTTTTTAAAAAATAAGTAAAAATAAAAAGTTCTACTTTTTTTAAAAATAAATAAAATAGAAAAATAGTATTTTTTTTTACTTAAAAAATGAAAATAAATATAAATAACAAAAAAATAAAAAAAATAAAAAAAAAAAAACGAGAATAAATTTGGATTATAAAAGAAAGCAAATAGATAGAAACATAAAGAGTATAACTCTTCTAACAACACAACACTGCACAACCACACAAGGTAGCAACTAAATTGCTACAACATAACTACTATCCCAAACACCACAATCCCTACAAACAATACACCAATAATCCAAACAAAGCCGAGTCGAGTCGAGTCGAACACGAATCGCGTTCGAACCCAGTTCGATCTGATCGCCGACGACGCCACAACAAGTATGTGTTAAAGCCCTCATCGATCGAGCATAGCAAACGACCCAACCGATAGAATCAATCGGATTCGATTCCTTACGGAGAACACAACCGATTTCACCAACGTTCGTCGCCGAACCAATTGTCCTTCTCCTTCGGCCCAGTCGGTCCTTCTTCGCCGTAGAGCTCAGTTGGGAACAGCTCGATAAAGCTCTCCAACGAGAATCGGAGAAAAAACGGGAGGTGGCTGAGTATTTTCTCGAGCTCCGATCGAGAATCGTAGACGATCGTCGGACCCCATTCTCTCATGTACTGCAGCCAACACGGCTGAGGGACGGCGTCGCCGAGGTATTCGGCGGCAATTATTTTGTACCGTCTGCTCGAGTCGACCGCGTATTTACTCTTGGCGCAATCGTTCCGAGCGCCGATCCCGAGCTTATCCGACCCCTGAAGATAACAACCCTCGTGGGGGAAACTTGCGTGCCCGTTCTTCGACGCGTACACGGCTGATTTATTCCCGTCGACAAATTCTAGCTCCGCCGCATTCCGCCACCCGCCGCCGCTGTGCTCGGAAAAGTATATGCTCCAAAGCTCGCCGTCGAAGTTGCTTAACCGGAGAGTGTAATGTTCCCAATCGCCGACGTGCTCCCCGATCCGATCAAACTCGTAGTTGAACGATCCGGCTTTGATTGTCGACGGACCGTTGAACGGACAGAAAACCCACATCGCGATATCGGTGAAAGTCCCGCCGGAGGCCGGCTTGACGTGGACGTAAAGCTCGGCGGAATCGATGTCGCCGCACTTCACGAGATCCCGTTTATCGTCGCCCTTCGGCAAATCGAGCCAGAATCGCTTGTCGTTTATCCCGCCGCGGGGCAGATTCGAGCCCTTCAAATCGACGGGAATCCCAATTTCATTCCCATCTTCGTACAGAAGCACACCGCTTTCGAAAAACCAAGAAACCGACGAGGGCAAGTACACTTCGTCGGGATGGAAATACAGAGTCGGTCCGTAGTGTTCGATTAGAGCATCGACCTGGTCGAGAGTCGGCATTGCGGATAACGACGCGTCGAGGTTTTTCAAGCAAGCGATACTTAAATCGGAATTCTCGCCCCGGCTGCAATAAAACGTGCCAACGGGCACGCCGTCACATAAAAATCCTCTCTCGCAAGGCCTCGTGCTCCAAACGTAAAACTTGTCCTTCGAAAAAATAGCCTTCGAATCGAATATAGCGGCGCCGACTTCGCAACTTTCGGTGAGATCTTCTCGGACACACCGTACTTCCCCGACATCGGGCTCGTCGGGCTCCGCCGTGACCACGAAACCCGCTGCTTTATAACCTTGCGGAGGATTCGGCAGCCATACATAGACACATTCCCGACGAGAACTCGAACTCCACACTTTAGTGTAGTTAAGAGGCTTCTCGAGAGGCGCCGAACTCGTAGAATTATCGGTCGATATACTTTTTGCGACAAGAACGTACCCTCGTAATTGCTGATCGCTCGGCTGACAATAGTGACCGAGGCAATAATACCTATCCGGAATCCCGACCGGTCTGTAAAATGTAATTGCGTTACCCTTCCCAAGCACCGGGCTGCAGCTCGAAATCTTCTCGAATTTGGTAATTTTAGCTACTCGAATCTGCCCGAGGCTGATTTCCCCTGTCGAAAAACCTTTGCCTGCGAATATTCGAAGTAAAGAAAAAACGCAGCAACGTAATAGAACGAAAATAAGTTTGAAAAACCAATTGCGCGCTATGAAATGCAATCTTCGAGCTCAAAACTAGTCGAAAACATCAAGCATACTTTAATCAAGAGCAAAAATCAACAAATGCCAACGTTCGTTGGCATCGAAGATTGATGTAAATATATTTTTACCATAAGAAACATTGCGCCATAGCTGTTTTCTATTCAAACCATTGCGTTTAAAACTTAATTTTCATTCGAAATATCATCTTGATGATCTATTTTTCTATTTAGTGCATCAAACTTAGAACTTATCTTCCAGGGATAAACATAATCGAACGAAAATAAGTTTGAAAAACCGAAAAGAAACACAAATGTTTGATTTTGTATTCAGAATCGTTTGCGCGCTATGCAATATAATGCAATCTTCGAGCTCCAAACTAGTCGAAAACATCAAGCATACTTTAATCAAGAGCAAAAATAAAAAAATGCCGACGTTCGTAGGCATCGAAGATTGACGTAAATTATTTTTACCGTAAAAAACATTGTGCCGTAGCTATTTTCTATTCAAAACATCGCATTTATAACTTAATTTTCATTCGAAATATGGTCTCGATCTATTTTTCCATTTAGTGCTTCAAATTTAGAACTTATCTTCCATTGGGATAAACATTTTCGAATCTAAAGACTTCAAAATCAGATATTGCAGAGTTCTGTTCCATTCAATGATCTAAGCAGGTTGATCAAATCCTCCTAAATATTTACTTTTTATTTCTAAATGCTGAAGAACATTCAATAGATCAAATGGCTATGGCGAATGAACTAATTACACAAACAAACTCAGCAATCTTCAAGCTAGATCTTGGTCAAACATATCCATGTCAAAGCAAAGGTGAAACATATATATATATATATATATATTGGAATTGATGGATCGAATGCAGAAAAATCGAAGAGATAAACCAGCAGTCAACACAAATCATAAAAATAATAAAAATAAAAATAAAAATAAAAAATGGAGAAGAAGAAGGCAGGCACCTTGAGGCCATGGCGGAAGAGGTGAAGGAAGAGAGAACGGCTCTGGTTCCTCCTGAATTTCTCCATCGTCATTGTCCCAGCACGACTTACACAGCCCAAACATTTTTTTAAGTTTTTTTTTTTTTTGGATAATCCTCTCGATTTATTGATTGTTCCTGAAAATTGAAATCAGGAGCAAACAATTAGGAATCCGAAATCAGCAAGTAGAAAGTGATTTTGCTCTTGATTAGATTTTAATCAGCCGACGAATTTGAAGTTAAACCGAAAAAGTCGTCGGACATGGACAACAGACTTTCTCTCTCGCATACGCACACAAACACAAATGAATAAGTTTAGAAAATTGGCGAAAGGGTTGAGCTCGGTGAATGAAGGAAAGAAATGGATGGATACATTGGCGGCGGCGGAGGATTTGGGAATGGCGGAGGAGTGGTGGTTAGAGAGAGAAGCAGGGTTGAGTGAGAAGACAGCAAAGAGACGACGATGTCAAAGAGAGAGAGAGAGAGACTTCTTTAATGTCTTTTAACTTGTAAGATTGTTTGTTTGTTTGTTTGAAGATTACCTAATCAGTGTTATCTTTATTATTATTTAAATTTATTTTAAACTATATGATTGATTTCAAAATAAAATAAAATAAAAAATTATTATTTAATTACACCATATCAATAAAAATATACTTATTTTATTAAAATGTTCAATATTTTTATTTTTATCTCTATATATAATTTTGATTTGCTTTTTAAAAAATAATTATATAATCCCTCCGTCCACTTACAATGTTTACATGTTTCTATTTTGGGACGTCCAATTACAAAGTTAATATTTTATTAAATATCCTACTTTTTTCCACAAATATTCTTATTTTACATCACATCATTAATTTTACAAAAAAAAAAAATAATAATAAGGGCAAAAATGTCATTACACTACTTTTAACTACTCGCTATATTTAAAATACTATTATTTCTTAAACACCGCGCCAAAATAAATGTCAACATTGTAAGCGGATGTAGGGAGTATATATTAATCAACATTTTAAATCTTGTAATTTATTGTTTTTTAATTTATAATTAAATTATTTAATAACTTTAATTTTAATTTATATTATACTATAATTATTTATATTAATTATATATTATTATTTTTTTCAATTTGAAACTAGATGAAAGAATATTATTTTTTTATAAAATATCAAATCAAATTATTATTTAAACTAAAATTTAAATAGAAAAACATCTCAAATCAAACCTTGAACCAAAATCATTTAAAAATAGCGATACCATTTTTTTTTCAAATATTTTTTATAAGAAAGTTTCATATTAATTAATTATTTCATTTAAAAAAAATAATAATATTTAAAATTTATTCAAAATCCCAAACGATACTAATCAAACAAATTGTGCTTGGTTTATAGTTTTACTATAAATTTTGAACAATCTAATGTGAATAATAAAGATTTATTAGTGAAACATTCATTCAAAAATAAAATAGAAATTAATATATTTGTATTTTTAATTTATATTTTTATTTAAATAATATTTAAATATGATATTTTATGATAAATAATACTGCATTTTATAAGCAATAGGAAACTGTATAATAAAAAAATGAAAATTGAAAAGTATTTGAGGCCATAGTTTTTTTTTTTTTTTTAAAAAAAAGAGGAATACTCCCTCCATTCCGGAACTAAATATCCATTTGTTTTTTTGCACGTAATTTTAGAAATATTAATATTATATTAAGATATAGTATGAATAAAATAGAAATGACTAAAATAACCTTATTAGTATGAGCGATATAAAAGTTATATTATTTAAAAAGAAAACAAATATTATATTTTTATAAGAAACAAATTGTTGCATTACAGTAAAAAAATCAAACTCCAAAAAATATAATAATATTACTTTATGGAGAAATTGTTAAAGTATTGATTAGAATTAATCAGTTGTATAATTAGTTCTAATTACTAGTACTATATAATACATAGACTATTAATACATAACTTTAATTATTATTATTATTATTTTATTTTTATATATTTTTTTTTGAATGATGTGGAAACCCGCGACCGCTACTCGAAAATATGCACTGAGTAAACCCCCGAACCTAATACCCTGCGAATAACGTCCGAACAGAAAAGTGATACTAGAAGAACATGTACATAGGTAATTAAATTTATATTGCTATCAACTGATTCCCAATATGACCGTAACCGCATCATAGTTTGCAATGCCGTATAAAATTGGTTGGAAATAGTCAATTTGTGTAAGCTCCGCAGCCTCCCCAATAATTTTATGACTAAGACATTTTCTTCAACAACATAACCACTCTCTCTCTCTCTCTCTCTCTCTATATATATATATATATATATATATTAAAAAAGTTAAATTAAATTAATAAAACTAACGAGGCTACAACAATAAAGGATTAAGAGTTACGGTGAACCGTGTTGAATACCACATAATATTTTATAAAATATACTTCTTCTTCCGTCCCTAATCAAACGGGTCGTATAAAAGAAATTTTGACATTTTTGTCATTTGACTTTTTGTATAATATAACTGTACGTGCAATCAAAGTTGTTAAACGAATCGAACTGTTCATGAACTCGACTCGTTTAAAGTTCGTTCGCTAACGTTAACGAGTTGAGCCGAACAACATAAACATGCTCATTTAATTAAAGAACGAGCCCGAAATTTGTTCGCGAACGTTCGTTAAAATAATATATTTATTATAAATATTATATAACATATAAAATTATAAATTAAAAAAAAAAGTGAGACGAACGAGCTTAGTCGAGCCGGACACAAATATAAGCTCAAACAATAAAAATTCTTAACGAATCGAGCTCGAACACTACGAACGAGCGCGAAAGTTCAACGAACAAACACCAGTCTTGTTCACAAACGTTAACGAATGAACACGAACACTTAAAATTCGGCTCGGCTCGTTAACGGCTCTATATGTAATAGTATATTTGTAAGTTATATAAAAGTTAAAAGATATTTTAGTATTAGTAAATGATTATTTTTTTTTAAATAGAAAATAAATATTTTGAAACGAAATAAACGAATATGATAAAAAGAATATTTTGACATAAGATGGACGAAAATGCTAAAGAACACTTTGAATTGAGACGGAATAAATATATTATTTATATTAATATAATATTATCTCCCAGTTTTAATTTAGTACAACATTTGATTTAGGCATAACATTTTAAATAGGTAATATTAAATAGAATAATTTAAAAATTAAATAATATAATGAGAAAGTGAAAAATATATTTATTTTTTTACTTTTTTATTTGAGCTATGAGATAAAATATGATTTAGAAATTAAATATAATAAATTGTTTTATATTTAAGAAATGTTGCAATCTGTTTATATTAGCAAAAACTAAAAACACATTTCTGTATGTTCCTATAGATCATAAAATATAAACAAATAGCAAATGACATATAAATGTCAGTACCAAAATACTATTTAAACAAAAATTTAAATTTATAATATTATAGAAATGCCAACCATAAAACAACATTCGAATACTACATGAGAAAAAAAAATTTAAATTTATAATATTATAGAAATGCCAACCATAAAACAACATTCGAATACTACATGAGAAAAATGCTTTTCGCGAGTCGCGACAGCGACGACACATTTACATTTAACCAGTGATTTAACAAGAATGAACATTCCACACTTTAAAAAAAATATGTACTCTATTTATCCGCCAAACTTATGCTTACTTTTATTTAAATTTTTCGATCAATTACTTTTCTCCATCCACTTCGGCAAATAATAACTTTATCAATGTCATTACATCACACATACACTATCAATTAAAACAAATTTCGGAATAAATTTCCCATCATACCTCCACATGAGTCTATTTTTACGTTAAAATATTATTATTTTTTAATTTATATGCCGAACTATATAAGCATAATTTTCCCGGTCTAACTAGTCATTAATGTAGAATTCCTGAAGTGTAAAAGCTCATACGTACCATCGTAAAATTGAATTGGGACCAAAAAATTTCTTCATTCCCCTCACGAACGATGATAATAATGCGTGACCTGAATGTCAAAGAACAATAACAAGAAATTTAGGAATTATCCGGGAAAGGATAACTAACATAAATTCAGGAAAAATCACCTGATCTTTGATCTTTCTTGGGATATGTTTAGTTCTTTTCTCGAAATATCTGCAAAACAAAACATTAGATTGTCAGGATATCGTTATTGCAGGTAACGACATTCCCTTATTAATGAATGTCGAAGTCCATAAAACGGAAGCAGATCATTTACCTATCCAACTTCGCATATAGCAGCAAAAAATGTTTTTTTCCTCTTGGCGAATCCGAGCTGTTCATTGTCTTGTTAGTTTTTTACCTGCTTAGAAACCAAAACACGAACAAACATAAAAAGTTCGCCAGTAATTTCACACATTATGAGTGACAAAAGAAAGGGTTCCAAGGCACTAATGGAGACCCGTAATCTTCTGAGGAGATGGAACACTAGGGGTGTGTTCCTTTTTGGCTTTTTCTAAATTTTTTACTATCTAGACTCTATATTGCATCAAACATTATTTAAATAAAGAACTCAAACCTCAAAAATCCAATCGAGACTTATAAGAAACACACTCCATAATCCTAACCTCATTTCCAAGAAAATCAGGCCAAGATGCCGGATTCAGGGGCAAGGCATAGATCAGAGTCTAACGAAATCCGGCACTCCAATTCTAGGTATTTATCATTAAACAAATGTTACAAAACGCCATGTCATTCCAAGATCTCGTACTTCATTCAACAGTTTTAGTTGCTTGACGTATCTCACGATAGCAAAATGCAAGTCGAAAAAATAGAGTAGATAAACGTAATGACACAAGTATAAGCAGCTGTGTCCAACAGTACAAATCAATGAGTCGAAAGATAAATAACCCATAAAATCTGCAAGAAAATAATTACTCAATCATCCAAGTTCTACTTCTTAAGCTACAGCCGTATTGAAACAAATAGAACAAAGTACTCATTTAGGAGAGAAGCCCAACTCGCATATACTATTGGATATTTTGAATTGGTAAAACAAAATCGAATCACCATCCCTAATTCAAATTGGGAGTTGAAGAATCATGTCACAAATAAAATAAATCCAGCAAAATTGAGAAGAAGAACATCCCTGAACGAAGCTCTAACTCATTCCATAGATGCCCAGAGATTACCGAATCAGAAAGAACCCCTAAACATACATAATTAATCTGATTCCTAGCATATATAGAGCGTAACTGACATTTTAGCAGTATTTTAATGCAATCCATCAATAGCATAGGAATTTCCCAACACAGACCAGAAACAAGAAAAATTAACAAAGAATTGCTACCGTTGATCAGAAATTCAACAGAATCATCTTACCAACAACATATTAGAGTCCCCCATGATGCCTACATAGCATTTAGCCAATTAACAACTCATCTGCACGCATAGAGAAGGGCTAATGTCGAATATTGGAAACCTGTGAAACAATCATTACTCAGGCAATTAACAGCCAGGGTGAAGGTTGCACAGAATACCCAAACACAAGAGAAGCCGGAAATTCAAACTCATAATCAAACCTACCTAGCATGTTCTTAAACCTATGCATTAGCATTTAAAAATGAACATAACATTGGGACGACAGATAAATCTCAAAAAATGATTGAAATACATCAGTTCCTAAATGGATTAGCATCATGTTCACAGGCATTGCTACAAATTTTTTTTGTGTTACACTAACTATTCAACTAAAATCTTTTCTGAAAAAACTTGCCGATAATCCAAGGAACTACAAATTTACATTTTACAACTGAGGAAGCTCTTGCTGGTTTTCCAAAGATTGCCGTAGAATAAACTCAACCCTCCTCTTTTTATCATCCTTTTCTTCTTCGCGCCCAAACCAAGCCATAGTCCTTCCGGAAGCCCTGTTCCGAATTCTCAAATCCAACGGCTCTCCAAACACCTTTTTACCACTCTTGAACTCCAAATAAGTAAAAGTCCTCTTTTTCGGCATAGCTCTCTCCCCGTCACTACCAGAATCAAGCCCGTCCTTCATTGCTTCAATGGCGGGAGCAAAAGTCTCCAACAAAGAAACATGCTTTTCCGTCTGTGCATCAACCTTGACCGGAAGCTTAACCGAAGATTTTTCTTTCTCAGCCCGAAACGGGCTCGTTGTCACATCTATTTGCGGCCAGTTTCCGCCGTCATCCGACTCATCGTTTGATTCAATAGACAGCAGCCGCTGCTGCAAATTTAACAAGGACCTCTCAGCCTTCCTATGCTGCCTTGCTAGCTCGATCTTGTCCGTTCGAGGATCAGAAACCCTCTCGTTCCAGACAGGTGTTTTTATATATGTGTGGGGGTCGGGAAATGCAGGCAACCAATCTGGAATGTGCTTCGAACTAGGCGTCTCATCCATTTGCAAGAAACTTGGAATCGTTCTAGGTTCCCTGATAACAGGAAATCGAGGCAATGGCTGAGCAAATGGTACTTCCTCGGCAGTTTCGACAAATTCCTTAAGCTCTCTTACAGCACTGGAACCAATTACACAGCCGGTTCGAATTCCCGAATCATTCGAATGCCTTTGTTGCAAGCCTAAATCTTCCAATCCTTGTACAACATCAAACACGTTGCACTCTGTCCTACCGGCTAAATTTGCAATAAATTTCGAGGTTTTACCTAGGTCAGAAATGCACCTAATTGCAATGTCAGAAAGAGATTCGAGAGCAGATTTATTGAATCCTTCGAACCCTACGCTATTGCATATTTGAGCCACTGCAATTCGCGATATTTCTGAACCAAAATGACTAGCAGCAGTTTGAATAACTGAATTGCACTTCTCCTCACCCTTCCCTTCCGCTTCACCTTCACCTCCAGTTTTCATGTTCAGATTCCAAGATTCCAACAACATTTGGGGGGTTTAGATCCAATAAACGCCAAAATAACCAATTCAATTCACAAAACCATGTTTCGCCTCCATAAATTCACGAAACCACTCACCCCCTGTTGGCTTCGTGACCCCCAAAATTCAAAATAAACCCTAGAAAGCGAGATGAACATACAAAGTAGAGCAAAAAATGCGAGGATAAAGTGTCGACTGCGACTGGAGATGTACGTAAGCTGCTTTGCGGACACTTTCACGCGACGGGATTCTCCCGCCGATGTTACGATTCGATTGTGGTTCAATTACATCGAGAAAAGCACCGGATCTAGTTCAATTGCAAGAGAGAGATGAGAATCAGTAGGTTGAGGACGCCTTTCGGGGGAAATCGAATTGGGATTTAGTTTGGGGAAGAAATCAAAAACCCTAATTGGGAAAAGCATAGACGAGGAGGAATAAAGAGCCAAACTCAAGAGTTCAAAGCCATATCATAGACGGACATGGCAGAATCTTTGAAGTGTTTTTTTCTTTTTCCATTTTCCTTTTAAAGGAAAAATACACGTGGCAGAATCTAATAGTTGTGTAGATGAAAACGGTGTGTTTAATTTGTATTTGAATTTAAAGATAAAAAATCAGCACCATACTTATTTTTTAAGGAAATCAATCATCTAAACCATATGCTAATTCTGCATCATAACCCTATCAACGTTAGAGTGGTTAACGATCCGAGCCGAGCCGAGCCTAGCCAAATTTTTGTTAGGTGCAAACCTAAGTCCCACATTGAAAGCGGTGAAGATAATTACATAAACTCTACTAGTATGAGACTTTTTTGAGAATATCCAAAAACAAATCCGTGCGGGTTCAGCCCAAAGCGGTCAATATCGTACTAGTATTGAGTTGACCCAGTTAGATGGAGGATTGTTGGGTGCAAACCCAAGTCCCCAAGTCCCAACAATTTTAAGTGTTCGTTTGTTCGAAATTGTCTGTCTTATTTATTTAAAATTTATATATAAATTATAAAAAAAATTAAAAATATTTTATTTATATATTTTAAATTAATATTGTATTTATTTATAAATTATAATTTTATATGTATATATAATATTTATAATAAATATATTATTTAAACGAATCGTTCGCAAACATTCGCGAATAAAGCTCGAGCTCGTTCGTTAACCAAACCAGCTTGTTTATGTTATTCAACTCGACTTATTAACGTTCCCGATTGAAATTTTATTAAGCAATGCTAAAATTTGAAAATTAACACATAAGATTTTTAAAAGCATATGTAAAATATGAAAACGACATATACAAAACATGTAATAAAAATACATGCACTGTATGTGTGTGTGACTATATATAGTATTATATTTGTTAGTAGTAGCATTCAACTATCTATTCATATTATATTAAATAATTATTCAAATTTAAAATTCTACCATTAAAAATTTCTTACATTCAAAAATTAAATGCACAAATAAACAAACCACACCCTATGAGTTTTATTTTGGTTTTAATTTTTAATTTGCATAATAATTTGGTGTAATATTTTAAAAATATATATCTTGTTTTTATTGAAATTTATATTACTCCCTCCGTCCCAAATATCATGTCCAAGTTGCGTCCGTCCCACATACCATGTCACTTTCCTTTTTTGAAAAGTGATTACACAAGGAGGGAGTATTATATAATAGAAAACTAAAAACAAATTCTAAAAAATTTAGCCATATTTATATCCAAAAATAATTTTTACACAAACAAAAATATTTTGGAAAAATTCATCTAGCATTATATCTTTGAATTCGTTGAGGATTGGCTCCAAATCTTTAGGCAATTTTCCGACCTTTATTTCATCTCCTGGAATATCTTCGTCGCTTAGGATAGCAACGAAGGTTGCCTCTCCCGTTTTTACTTCTTTTTCAAATTATCTGAGACTCATTTCTTCTATCCGATATACCATTACAAGATCTATAAACTTATCATAAATAACACTGCATAGTTATCAACAGGGACAATATTAAAGTGTTGGGTACCTTGCCATTTGCCAAGTCTGGATGGGCACATCCTTGGCCACACCAGATAGAGAAGTTCATCCACAATTGACTCTCTTAAACCGACCTCCAGATGACACAAGTTCATCCACAATTGACTCTCTTAAACCGACCTCCAGATGACATCCATTGTAGGCCAAATTACTGGTCATCTCTTTGCTCATATAGACCGTCTACACTCTGTGTCAATCATGCATGTCGTCTACACCCCATTTATCTACGTACACCATTAGGCTCCCTCGACTAGATCAATCCCTAATAGAATATTCAAGCAAACGAAACATCCATAATAAGTTGGTCCTAGCTTTTCTCGTACCTCTGATAGCCACTAGACATATCTTACCGCCTCATTGACATTTGAAGAGACTATTTCTTTAATCCTCAACTTAGCCCAAGCCGTTTAGGAACATCAATAGTACCTCATTAACTAACATATTAAACACTTCCAATAGTAGGTCAAAAAAGTTCTTGATATACTCTAAATACTCTTTTTCTTTAAGCTCTTGTTTAAAGATTATCCATATGGTGATGACCTTTTCATCGCTTGGCCTCATCTCAGACAAATATCCTCAAAGTATGTATTTCTCTGTGACCTCATCTCCAATGACGCATGTATCCTCAGAGTATTTCTTTATATCATAGAAAAAATCATCTACAACTCGAGCTTTCCACTCCCCTACATAGTTCTCCGGACATGAGATCTTCCCCCGGGGTATACTAGGACAGCCTAACACAAACTCGTAACTATTTCTTAATTTAGTAAATATAGCCCACATATTACTGAAACATCCTTACGTTTCACCTTAGAGACCCATCGCACATAAAATACTAATACTTTCGCGTACAAAAAATAAATATATACGTGAACCCTTATATACCCATCACACATTAAATACTAATATTTCCACGTACAAAAAATAAATGTATACATACATTGAACCGGACGGAGAGAATATTAAATTAATAATCGATGATTTATACCTTTCTACCTTCAAATATTAGAATACATTCCATCCTTTCCATGCATAATACTTTGGGATTGCACAAAAAGTGTCCAATAAACTCTATGCAATTTAGATATGTTTTGCAGAAATCAATACAGTTTTTTACAGCAACTAAATAAGTAAATCAAGAACCAGAGCAATGACTTAATCTGTATTTTCATCTCTGTAAGAATTTGGAGAAAAGTTTCAATAGGAAATGAAAATCAGTGTCGTTACCTGGCGTTGCTGCAATGATATTACAAGATCAGGCAACTCTCGGGTCGGATTTGTCGGTGACGTCCTCCCAGCGCACCACTTTGGCGCACTCCCCGCACACTGCTTTGTCTCCAAACTTTACCCGTTGGCTCCTCAGAGTCAGCAGGTGTGAGAGGTTCGTGCAGCGTCGCAGCCCGTACATGTACGTATGGCGCTGCCTTGCTCGTTCGAGCGCATAGTCATGTTTAGGAGTTGTGACGGTTGGAGGACGAGGATTGGGCTTTGAATTGAGCATAGAATCAGTTATGGAGCGCCGTGGCTGCTGCTGCTGCTGATCGGGTGCAGGTTCGCCTACAGATGCTTTCTGCTGCTCGTGCATTGTTTCATCTGGAAATACGCGCCGCACCTCTTCCCACTCGAGGGTTTTCCGATACACCTCCCAAGCTAGGTCTTGCTCTTCTTTAGACAGTTTCTCATCTTCATTTTCTTGCAAGAGGGTCTCGTGTTCATGGTAATTTGAAATCCAACTGAAAAGAGCACAAGAGAAATGTAGAAATGTTCCGAGATCACACATTTTAACCAATGATAAAAATTTATAATGCAAGGAAAACGACGGAAAAATTGTTTATAATCCATTTGTGGTTTGGAAAGTCTTGCATTATTTTCTTCATAATTTAATAATTGCATGAGACTCCCTCTGTGTTTTCGAAAATATTGCACCGAATTTATTTTTGTGCAATGTTTTCGTAAACACAAGGGAATCTTGTGTAATTTTTAGAGAATTCTGTGTGATACTTTTTAAAATGAGGGAGCCTTATGTAGTTTCTAAACCATGGAGGAATTCGGCGCAAACTTTCCAAACCACAAATAGATTATAAGTAATTCTTCCGAAAATCGAGGAATTTATCCAAGCAACAGCAAAGATCTTTCATTTCAATTCTAATCATCCAGAGTCTAAAACTAATACAATCCTGACTAATATGTATTCAGCTCGAGAGTAAAACAACATATTGGGATTGAAGATCGGGAAAAGCAGATTTCAATATGGAAGTAGAGCGTGTATAGATATTGGTTTAATACAATAATGACAACATCGCAAATGCTTCTAACAAACTTAGGAGCCTAGATTGTGTTGAAAGATTACAAAGAGCAATTTTGCAACTAAACAGTATAGATATAGGAAAATACTGTCATGGTTAAAAACAGGACATGTGATTTGGCACACCGATATTTCACATATGATAGCACAAAACAGAACCACTTTGAATTCACAAAGGGATGCTCAATTGGTGAATATAGTTACCAACCAAAATTTATTGTAATATTATATATAAAGCTAACTAAATTCATTACTAATCTCATTTGTAAAAGTAAGTATAATCATTGGGTAAGCATAGTCTTACTTGGGATGATGATTGCTTATCAAACTTTCAATCAACTTGTCCGTAGATGAGCTCCCATGAGGCAGTTGCATCTTCTGCTTCAATATGTTTCCAACGTGACTGGCTGCATCCGGTGTGGAAGCACCAGTTTCTTGTCCCAAATCAGGTATCATGTCAGCATTTTCATCGTCACCGAAGTCAAACAAATGTAATATTTCTTCTTTAGACATTGTCCTGTGAACCTGCTGTCTATCGACTACTCTTGCAGCGAGGCCCTCCTTAGTCACCTGTAGAACTTTATCGAGTTAATTTTTGTTCAGAGAGTAACTAGATTGGATTGGGGCCTTGTGATAGGACACTACCTGACGCTTATAGATTTTTTCTTCCATTGTTGCGTGTGCCAACAATCGGTATGCAAAAACAGGTTTGGTTTGTCCATACCTACAAATAATAAGCATTTTAATTTACCAGCAACTTGAAGTCTATTACAATGTTTTGCTTAATAGAAATCACAGTAGAGCACCTCCAAACCCGGTATATAGCCTGAAGATCATAAGTTGGGTTCCAAGATCCATCGACTATAATCACTCGGTTAGCAGCATGAAGGTTGATCCCCAGGGATCCAGCCCTCGTTGATATTAAGACGCATTTAACCCTTCTATTCAATGGTTCATTGAACCTCTCAACCAACCTCTGCCTCTCGTAGCTTTCAGTTCTTCCATCTAACCTGTTTAACGAAGGTAAGAGCTTAGTATTTATTTATTACATTTTGTGTAAATAAACCTGTTTGCATAGTTAATAAGACATAAGCCTACAATCAAGAGTGAAATATGGAACAGTTCAGAATATAAATACAAACGGATCCATAAGTACTCTCAATGGGAGTTTACATCTTCCTTTTTCTTTCGAATAACATGAGGCAAACATAATGTCATGTACATGACTTAATTTGATCGGTTTCTAGAACTCCCATCGAATGCAAAGACTAGAGAAAAGATCTCACAACAGTGATGCAAAATCAACTAGAGATACAACGAAGTTGTGAGCCAAAACAATCAAAAAGCTGGAATGCAGCTAAAGATAGTGCCCACATTACAGAATGGTGGCTTTTCCCTTGCAACAACACAATCAATATATGCAAAATAAATAAGGTAACCGGTTCATCATTATTATGTTAATTCACAAAATAATGGTGGTACGTGGTGCAAGCAAAGAAAATGAGATTCATCATAATCGCTCCAAATATTGCACAGATGTAAGTTGATATTATTGATATTGTTCTGCTATATTGTAACCACACATACCTGTACCAGTCCTTCCCTTTCCTCCAACATTTCCCATTCTTCCTAGGACGAGGTAATTTTGAAAGATATTTCTCTATAAGGTCCAAAGTTAGTATGCTCTGGCTGAAAACGAGTGCTTTATCACCCATGTTCGAGCACGCTGTTAGGATATCAAGTAGCAAAACCATTTTTCCACCTTGATTGATGTCCATATAATTGTTCCCCATTAAAAGATCTCTCCACCAATCCTGTTAGCAAATTGATGATATATATATATATATGCATATTAACAACTCAAAAGAATATTGATGGAAATAGCCAGGTCTAAGAGAGTATAAAAGCACATATGAAATTACAAATAGGAAAAATACATTAACCGAGTGACCATTAACACACTAAATAACTAAATAAATAGCAATTGTTTACATAGGAAATGGGAGACAGTAAATTAAGGTCCACACCTCGTGATAAAATCCAGTGTCATTCTTTCTGTGATGGTTGCTGAGCTTCTCTGCAATATGAAAAATGTACGAAGTATGAGAATATCTAACATCTAGCTCTTTAGGCATCAGCAGGGGCACAACTATTTTCAAAGTTCATTACGTTTCTCACAAGTATTTTTCCTAGTATATGGGATCTATTTAGTTTCTCACAAGTATTTTCCTAGTATATGGGATCTATTTAGTTGATAATGTTTCTATTTGTTCGATAGAACATATATTTTGATCTAAATTTAAAGATGTATATTACCGTTCTTTTCCAATTTATAATGGCCCCCTTCCCCTATTACTTCTATTATATTATTTTTAGAAGGAAAAGGGAATTTTATAATTGGATGATAAGTAGTACAAAGGAGATACCCAATAGAAACCCAGAGAACTAAGTCATAGAGGATCAAAATCAAACTACAAAATCTGAGTGCTCAGGGGCACCATATTTCGTAAAGGCGTCTTCCAATCCATTGGAACAATGAGGGATATGGTCAAAAGATATGAATTGGCATCAGAAGGTGAGGTACCAAAGCTTATTGATCTCAGGATTAAGCTTAGCGATTATTGATCAACTACTTTCTAGGAGGTATGTACAGATATCCTATACATACATTTTAAGAATGTATATCATTTTCTGACATATAGTTTCTACTGTCAGCATATAGTTTAATGTTCCTGGATATCAACCTCAGCACACTCTATCCCGGCGTTTTGTTCTTATTCACATCTTATTGCCCAGAATATATACAGTATAGCTGACCTTATGGTAGTACTCTCAAACCTATAGAAGTATTTCTGATTACTTTTCTATTTAACTCCAACCTACTTCACTTTGATGCATACATCTTTATCAATTCCTTGACTTTTCTCCACAAACAGTTACTAAAAACTTAAAAGAGTGTATTGTATTCTTTTGTGTTTTCGTTCCCATCTATTTACTATTCAATATATTATTTTTACCTCCAAAAATATCGCATACAACACCCACTTTCCATACAACACATCGCATCCAACTACCATGTTCACCTAGAAACTATCAAAATGAAGACAAAGACACAAAAGAGCACACCCTTAAAAAATTACTATATAGTATATTATCAATTTCCAACGAAGTAGTGTGCACATTTACCATGCCATCACTTCTACAACACTAAAGTAGAACCTAGCCACCTATGTATGATAAAATCTATTCCAAATTATAAGAATTCAGGGAACTATTTGTGCAGATTATAAAACAGAGAATGTTAAAAATAATCAGTCCTGAATATGTGAAAGCATTCTTGAATTGGTGATATACTAAACAAATCACTAATATGCATCAGAAGGTACCTCCAGAGATAACATTGTAGTCAACATTCTCATCACTAGAGCAATCATCTGCGAGAAAATTCTCTAGATCTTCACATCTACTAGACTCTTTGTTTTCTTTCCTTAGTTGCAAAATTCCAGGATGGTTCCAAATCTACAAGAAAGAAAACAGAATAGAATAAAAATAAACAGAAAACTGCACTATATTTTATCTTTTGTACTCATGTTGGAAATAAATATGGAATGAGAAATGTCTTTGATGGTTTCCAAAAAATAAAAATAAAAATTGTAACCATATAGTGTTTGGTCATTCTGGGACTATACTACATAAGGTAATAAGAACTGTTTGATTTTTCAACACAGTTGCCACAGGTAAAATGAATTATTATTTTTTTTAAAAAAAAAAATGTGTAATAACGTAGTAGAGCAGGGCAAACTGGATCGAGTTCTAAAGTGATATGTAATCTGCTCAACTTAAATGATCCCCCTTTGAAAACAAAAAATCATGCTCGTCTATGATTCAAACAATTGTAGGTACAGGTCTGCGTTACAAGACACAGAACAATACTCTCGAGCAAATTACTTAGGCTTCAATATTACATGCTTAGAAGCTGATGTAATAGCTAAGACTCTCTTAACATTTATATGAAAGGATAAGAAAATTCATGAAGCCATTAAAAAACTAAGGACACACCTGAGCCAAGGCCTGGTACCCAGCAAAAAAGGATCTCTTAATTATCCTTTCACCTGAGACCTTGTCTTTTGTGAAACCGTGGACATCAAGAAATCTCTTATACAGTTTTCTCTGTAATGTAGATAACTTCACGGAGATGACAAACACCGTTTTCGGGGGCAAATCTTTTTTAACGACATTCATGTCCATTCTCTGAACAAATCCTTTTAGCTGTTCATAGAGAATATGAGATCTTTGATTCATTATCTTTACATCGTCTGCAGTAGAATTGGTGTGCTGACCATTTTCTATGGGATTCTGGAAACTGAAAAGGACAGGAAACAGTAATCATGATGCAAGAGAATAAATTCCACAAAGAGAAGCATGAACGCCATTATTACCGGTTCCTAAACTCATGGCTGCTACCAAGAAATCCTTCCCTGACAAAATCAACCATCTGTTACAGACAAACCTTTAAATGATTAGAGATGATGATTCACACAACACATCAGATCCAAAGATGTAGTTTGAAATTCATACACAATAGTACTCCATCAGATTGTTCTGAAGAGGCGACCCAGTCAATGCAATCCTTCTCTGGCACTTCACTTGTTTCAATGCTTGAGTTGTATCAGCCCGGGTGTTCTTGATAATATGGGCTTCATCACAAACTAGGATATCAGGTCCTTCCTGTCAACAAATACCGTCTTCATAATAAAAAGTCCTTGCTAATAACTTACGGTTCAATAATTACATGAACTATGGAAATTACGTAGGAGGCTGAGAAGATTTCAAAAATATAATAATAGAAAATTAAAATTGAAATTGCAAGTAACGAAATATTAACAAGTGTAAAGTCCTAACCACCGAAGTCTAATTTTGACATGTGCTAGAAACAATGTACAACAACCAAAGTATTTAGATTAATGTTGTAAAGTAAAAAGAATATTGAAGTATAGTACTATAGTTGCAGAAATTTCTTCCATTTTTTGTCTATTGTCTCGAAAATAATTCGTGATATCACACATTAGCATGCCACAAGTGCCATGATAGGGAAGGATGAAATACATAGCTATCCCATCGAGGCATGTAAAAAAAATCAGAATAATTATGAAAGGGATGTAGATATTATAGTCAGCCAAAAACTAAAAATGTTCAATATCAGAATATCTAATGATATATCACCTGAAGTGCATGACTAATTGCTCTGGCTAGGTCCCTGTCCTTGACATACTTTCCAAGAGATAAATTGCGGAATGCTGAATAACCAATTATGAAGATCCCACCTTTAATTCTCCACTTTGTGAGCAACTGAACCCTTCTCTCCCTGAGGAAATAAAGATATGAAGATGTATCATTTACAGTGTCTTTACCAGTTTTAAATATGTAATAATCAAACAGATAAGTCAAACCTTGGAGCATCTTCAAGCATGAAAATACGAAGAGGCTTCAGCTCAAGTGGCCTCCATTTCATGAACTCAAACCGCCAATTGTGTATAACACTCACTGGTGTTACAATGAGTGCAGTTCTTAAACCTAGGTCAACACTTCTCATAGCGGCGTAGAGAAAAGTAATGACCTGTATGCACAAATTAGATCTTTCAAGGATCATCATTTTAGAGGTACTTTGCATCATCTACACATAGATGAGCAAAATACCAAATCTAGACATAATATTAGAATTCCATGTAGTAGATTGGACTTCACACCATAGTAACAGTTTGAAATCAAATTGCATAACAATTAATAATAATATCAAACTTTTATCACAATCACAATACAGCATGAAATTATATCTTAATTTAATTATTATTGAAGATAAAAGGGGCCTAATATAACGAAGGAGATCAAAGAAAATATTTACACTGCACGTAAGGGTGGGCACAGACAGAAAGTCAATCGCAAAATATTGGAGACAATATCAGTATGGGATACATTGGGAAGTGACAAGGACAGCTTTTCAACCCCAACAAAATTTTGGGACATAACTGGGACAAGAGTGTTCCATCCTGATTTTCACCATTCTTGCTCCCAACTCAATGTCATTCTTAGTGTAGTTGTATAATTTGCAAATTCTGATTATAATATGTATACATATATATATATATTGGATATACTGGAGATATAACAATAACCTTGGTTTCTTAAATAAATGTAAACATGTAGTAAGTTCATACAATTTCACTTTAATCTTTTCTTCATGTTATAACATATAGTTTACAAACAATAAAGAAAACGTTTTTGAGTTATTTATTATAAAAAATTCAAATTACTGATCTTTTATTATCATAGTTATATTTAACTAGATTTTTTCATTCTAGAGCAAAATAATTAATAAAATTCTCAAATTTTCCAAAATGGATATGGACAACTATATTATTGTTGACAAGACTGGACAAAAAATATTCAGGAGATGATTGGAACAAGAATTGTCCCAAACAAATTTTTAGGACCGTATCAGATAGGGCAAGAATCTGACCGGTTTGTCAGTCCAATCCCGTGTGCACCCCTAACTACAGAGTTAAAAGTTTGGCAAGATGTTAAAATATCAGTGGAAGGTTTGAAACTACATATCAGAACAATAAATCACATACGCCATGCTACAACTCATTTAAGTGAAATTATACAGGTAGATGCATTGATAGAAAAGAACTGGCAGTGATTAGAAGTAATAGAAGTTTATAAATTGTACCTGAAAGGTTTTGCCTAACCCCATAGTATGTGCCAAAATGCAACCAAGACCTTTGTCGCCAGACCTCACTTTCCGCACAGATTGAACAATATTTTCCCACATAAACCGAATCCCTGCAACCTGAACCAGCTAATTATTAGGATTACTTAACCCAGTTAATGTACATACGTACAATGTTATAATATTACTAGGTCACAGCATATCCAGAAAAATAGTTCAATGATGAAACAAAGTTGGAATAACAAATGCACGATTTCATTACTCCAAATAACTGCCATTACTTCAAAACTGTGGTAGATGTCAAAATGTACATGAGTTATTCCATTCAAGCAATTGTAGAATTCAAATTTAAACAATAATCATAAAACTTTCCTGCAGTTTAGGAACAACATAATACCGAGAAAAGAAACTATAGGAATTGCCAAATTGAACCAAATTCCAGATAAAGAATGGAATCTCCATTAGCATCAAGGAGGCTACCAAATATAGATAACTTCAAAGTTCAGATTTCATTTCTTTACATAATTAATAGCGTAGGGAAGAAAATCTTAAACTAGCCAAACCTGATGTGGTTTTAATTTCCCTGAGATGCTTGGAGGTATTCTCACAGCCTCTTCACCTTCCTCTCTCACCACATTTACAATGTAACCTGCAGTTGCATCACCTAGCATTTCTGCAGTAGTGCCATCAAATGAACTCACTTTACTGGTTGAATAAGTCATTGTAACAGATTTGGAAGAAATCCGCGCTTCCAAAGATTTAAGCCGCTCTTGACGTTCCTGTGACAGTATATGCAGCCAAAATGTTGATAAGAGAAATTAAATATATAACACATGAGAAAATTTTACCTTTTCAATTGCAATTTTCTTTTTAGTTTCTTCCCCCAGTTCTGTATCATCAATGATCCTTCGAATTTTCTTTTTACGTCTTCTCCTAGTGCTGAGACAGGAGGTCAGACAACAAATGTTCAGAATAATATCTAAATTCCAAAAAGGATAATTAAATGAAACAACAGAAGCATGTATTGAATAATAATATAACAAGAGGAACAAGGGTTATCAATCACCCCAAGCTTGTGAAAAAGTTCATTTCTAATTCAATTATCAAACTAGATATCTGACCAGTATAAATTTTCCAGACAAACCAAAAAGACACTAAATTGGAAATGAGGAAATAAGAAAGAAAGAATTCCCAAAATCCCTAATGTAGATATCAAGCTCCCCAGACACGTGAATATAACAAAAAATTCAGAGGAAAAAAGTCTTGTCTCTTCTTTTCTGATACCAAGCTTTCATGTCAAAAGTATTAAATGCTACAACTAGAGAACGAAAGGCAAGAAAAGTCACAAATAAACCCTGTCATCATAATAGCAGAATGGATGCCAAAAATAAAAAATAAAACCCAATAGGATCAGTTTAACCCTCACAGAATCCCAGAAAACAAATTCCAAAATTCCAGAATGGCTGTCTCAAAACCCTATCTACTCCTTAAATACTACTATCTAAACCCTACTTATCAAATTAGAATAAGTCCATATAATAAATAAAATTAACCCAATCCAAATAAATATGAAAGACCAAGCATGCGAAAGCAAGCCTAAGACCGTTCCCACATACACTAAGAGAGGCCTTGCCCCCCTTCTCTTTCCCGTGCTTTTGTCCCTGCTCTCTATCACAAACAAGGCACACATGTATAAAAACTAGTAAATGTATATAAATTCTATCTTATAAGAAATTAATGTCTATAATTAATTTTATAGTAACATATCAAGAAAATATAAAATAACTAAAACAAAAATAAGAAGTTGATTTAAAATTTTAAAATAATAACTACACAATAAATAATACTTCCTCCGTCGGCAAAAATGTGCTCAAACTTTTGGGTACAGGTTCTAATTAGGTGTGTACTTTTTACCTTTTATAATAAAAAGGTACAAAAAGTAGAGTAATTTTTACTAATAAAAAAATCAAAATATTTTTAGGCGACGGAAAGTAAATAATACTCCCTACGAAAACATTTTGTTCCAATTTACTGTAAATAAAGAATTTAAGTAAAATATAATTAGTAAATAATTAAAAATATATTAGTATAAATAATTATTATATAATATGAATAATTATATATTAAAATTAAGATAACTAATTAATTTAATTAAGATTACAAAAATTATCAATTATGAAATTTAAAATATGATTAAAATATATAATCATTTTTCCTAAATAATAAGAAACAAATAAGGTGAGACGAATGGAAATAGAAATAGTGAATAAATAAGGTGGGACGGTAAGGCAATAGACCAGATACTAATACTAATAGTATAAATAGATAAATAAAAGAATAGCACTATCAGAGCAATAAAGTAGATAACAAATTAGAAATAATTGATTCTTAATCTGCGGAAAAACACCACGGCGGATAATAGCAACGAGACCAAGAGAGAGCAGAGAAGAGGGAAGAAAGAATGACAAATTAGGGTTCGATCGGATTTAAGGTTTAGAGGTTGACTTGGGCTGGGCTTGAGACTTACAAGGCTCTGGGCTAGCCTGCCCAGTGCCATGGCATCTCCGTGGCTTTGTTGAGGCGTCGCTAAAGCATCGCCAAACCGCCTTCTTTAATAAGGCGAGGCGAAGAGTTGCGGCGCACCTAAAAAAGCGCTAAGACGCCATGGCGACGCAGTGACAACAATGGCAGTGACAATTATTATCTATAAAATGGAAGATAACTATCCAAGCTTTTGAGTGAACATAACAGTCTAAATAATTCAAAATTCTGCATGTGAATTTTCAGTATGGTTGGGATTTAAACACCCGATAATCTATGTCAATTCAACTCTCCAGCGCTGGTTAGATACTATCTGTGGTCTTGAACAATAAACACGATCATCAATGTAAATCAGTGTACCTTGTAGTGACACCGGTAACAGAATCTGAATCATCTGAATCAGAATCTGAACTAGAAGTCATTTGACCATCTACTTTGGTAGCTTCCTCCATGTGTGAAGATGCATTTTCAACTGGTTGAGCTTCATTATCACTATCAGCAGTAATTGTACAGCATTTTTTGCCATCGGGCTGAGCTTCATCACTTTCACGATCACGCTTGACTCCCCTAGAGTCAACTAAGTCTGGGGATGTTGAGCCATTTGTCAAGGAGGCATCATAACCACTCTTTGCATTCTCTTCATCATCAACAACAGGCAACCTGTTTGCATCACTAATTAGTTCTTGATCACCAATATCACTTGCATCAGTGCGATCCTCATGAATTGTGAAATCATCTAGTTGATCCCTCAAGCCATCAGCGAAGGAAAGCGTTCCCTTCAGTATCAAAGGTAAAACAAAACAACAAGACAAGATGATATGTCAGTAGTAATAAGATATGATAGTTGTGGCTAACCAAGATCAAAACTGGATAGTGACCATATGTAATAATTTTCCAACAAAATAAATGATTGAAAAATGTGTAAGTGGAAACAGACTGATTTGTGCTCTACAATATCAAGCATATAGCCACATTGTCTGAAAAAGACCCATTTGACGATGTATAAAACAACAATCATTCACGCACTCAGTGCATCATATCCCTTTGCATGATCGTAAAGATGAAAATAAACAGAATGAAATCATAATCAAACTGGACTGGACATTGAAAATGAAAAATGATAAAAATCAGGGACAGAACCAAATGCTTTGAAGTTTTTACCTTTTTCCTTTTCTTCCTGTGTCTCCTTTGTTTTAAGCGAATGTTAAGCTTTCGATGAGCATTTACATCATCCTCCTCTTTAACCTGTGAAGAAAATAACAAGGAAAAGACCAAAATCATTTTAACTAATGTAAAAGGAAGAAATACATATTTTCTAATATTGTAAAACAGTTTCTCTCAATATGTTTACTGAAAGGCTTGCTGTTGATTTGAGAATCAACATGAATGAATTAATTCCAGTTCCTTAATTCTCCAAGATGGATTTTTTTCCTTAATTACCACTTCAATATCTGTATTTAAGTGATAATTTGTAATTTTCTTTTAGCATTCATTCCATTCCTTGCTTTAGTACCAACATGATATCTTTGTCTACAGCCTTGTCAAATGCAATGATTTTTTTACTTAAATACTTCCTTTATACCACTGTAAGCAGAAAATTTCAGGACATACCAACATTTATTTGTAATCAATCCTATAGCAAACACTATTTTTGAAATGTTCAATCCAATTATTTCCAGAAGCTGAGAGAGAAATGATGCTTTTGGATTCTAGTAGAATAACCTTTCTAACAAAATGTGGCTAGCTAATTTTGACGCGGACAGAAATATGAGTTGGAAAGAATGTCCTTATGGAAATACTTTCAGTAGCACACTTCTAATTTAGAAGAATAAGGAATCATTACAAACAATAAATGGCATGTTCATCATCAATTCCATGTTAATGCATCATATAGGCGATCAAAGTAAAATTGTCACGGTGCCCTTTTGCGGTGCGGCGCCCGTGGACCGCCATGCCGCCATGGGAAAAAATGGCGAACACAGCGCAAGTGTATAAAAACTTATGTATTATATCTTTTAAGAAATTAATGTCCAAATAAAATTATAGTAACATATCAAGAACATACAAAATTACTAACAAAAAACAATAAAAATAAATAACTACACAAAAAATAAGAACTAATAACACTAATACCATAATAGTATAAATGAAAAAATAGCACTATTGGAGGCTGGAGCACTGAAGCCGATAATAAAATTAAAAATACTGAGTCTTAATCCGTGGATAAAACACCACGGAGGGATGAAGCGGCTGTATAGAGCGGCGGACAACAGCGGCTAGACCAGGAGAGAGTAGAGGAGAGCAGGGAGAAAGAGGATGACAAGCTAGGGTTAGATAGGGTTAAAGGTTTAGGGTTGAGGTTGATGTGGTTTGGGCTTGGGCTGGGCTGGGCTTGAGATTCGTAAGGCTCTGGGCTAGCCTGCCCAGTGCCATGATATCACTGTGGCGTCATTGAGGTGACGCCACAGCATTGCTAAGGCATCGCCAAGCTGCCTTCTTTAATATGGCGAAGCGAAGAGTCCCGGCGCTCCTCCAAAAGCGCCAGGACGCCATGCCGACGCCATGACAACAGTGATCAAACTGAATCACATAGCCACTGCTTTCACTTAATATAAGGTACATTGAATGATTGATAACATTAACTTCTCAAGATGAAAAAGATATGAACTCAACGAATCACCACTTTTGGACAATGGAACTGCAATAGAAGGTGAGTATTTCTCTCTAGTTATCGTAACTGGTTAAGAGAAATATGCTATTAACAGATCAAATTGTGGTAGAAAATACGAATGGCCAACCTTCTTAAAGTTTCTCTTCTGTTCTTCAGTAAGATACAGTTCTCCTTCATTTGCTATAGCATCAGCAACAAATGGGTCACTTGAAGTACCATCAATGTCATCAATTTCCTCAACCTGTAAGTATAGTTAATGTGAGGGATAAAAACTTCAAAAGAATGCTATCAAGTAAAAAAGAATAAATAGATGTTCTTTAATTTCAAACTCATTTGGTATCCTTATAAAGCAGAAGTTTAACGATTAGGCAAGTAATAGTCTTGATAAATTTACATCAACAAAACCAATGATTCAGTGCAACACTCGTTGCTTCCCATATCAATTCATCCAACAGAACCATATAAACTTTTGTGCATCAGAGGTCTTTAGTTTGCCTGAATAAAAAACTTACTCCAAATTATACAATTTACAGATCTCTTTCAAGCAACATATACCTGCTTCGAAATGTGACAAAATGATATCTCTGCACGCCGACTTTAAAGAGCCAAAATTTATTTTAGGATGTGACATATTCAACTAACACTTTAACTAAAAACCTTTAGGGGAAAGTAGAATGGTCTCTATCATTGGGATTCCCTCTACAATGATTCAATGACTGTTTTTGAACATCAGTTACCTTCACCAATAAAGTGTATGTGCAGACAGCAACAACAAACTTTAAAACATTTATAGTACAGAAACTGAAAAATGAGAGCATAATTCTAGTTAACTAGGGATAAGTCAGAAAAAGCTTTGTAATTATGAGCAATGTATTGGCCAGTAGACAATGAATAAATCAGTATCGAAGAATCAAATGTATTTCACCTCATCAACTCCTGGAAATTTCAGTCCCAGTTCAGCAGCTTGCTGAGGGGTGCTGGCTAGGTAGACAGAAGCCCAGTGCTTGCTGCCAAAAGAGATGGCCTCCAAACTTGACTTATCAGAGCACATTCTGCTGAAAGAATCCCAATCTACATTTACCGAGTCATTTACTGTATCATTTACAGATGTACTGGTTTCAGTTGTCCCAACTTTTTTTTCGAGGAAACCACTAGCGCCCTCCTCTAAGACTTTGCCATGCCGTCTGCCCTACATGAAGATTTTAGTTAAAAAATCAAGTTTATCGTTGGATATATTAACTTGCTGCAAAGGCTGAGAATGAACCTTCTCACGGGCCTGTGCACGTTGAGATACTTTTCAGCCTCTGCAACTGATTCAGTTGCATCAACCGGCAGTTGAGTTCCAGCCCAATGAGTCCTCTTTTTCCAGGCTTCAGTGTGGCAAGCATTTGGAGCTTGCTTTTCTATCCACTTATAGAGACTGGAAAGATCAATCCCAGCACCATCAAGTTGCTCCTACCCACCGACAAATGAATTTGTAAAGCATAAACATCGATTCTTCTATAAGTTGGATTTAAATATACTCCAATAACTGAAAAGACACTTGTAAAGAACAAATTGCAGAGAACCGTACTAAATATCCTATGGTATAAATCAATGGAGCAATTAGTACTCTAATCCCAAATTCAAGTTCATTTCTTCGAATAATCAAAATCAGAAACCTAGAAAATTAAAAATCCAACTAATACAACCACTGTTGCATTCTAATGTAATTAAAAACAAAACTGAAAAGCCATACCAGTAAATGAGCACTCTCAGTCTCAAGCTCGTCAAGCTGAACTTCCCACTCATCCTTGAAAGCAGCCATCTCATTCGTGACAGCCTTTTCCAACTAATTCAAAAGAAAATTGAAAATCACAAGGAAAACAATAAAAAAGGCAAACAAATAGTATGGAAAACAATGCAATTAACTACCTCATCACCCGACGACGACTGTGCCAATTCCTTTCGAACATCAGCTTCTACTTTGGCTAGGGATTCCTCCTCCAGAGCCTCTTGAGCTTCAGCAGCCTACAAGCATTTGAGTTAGTAGCATTCAACTACAATAACAAAATCCCTCCTCGAATAAAGTAAGGTCATAACTATTTACTTTGCTTTCGACATCTAAGAGCTCAGCAATAAGCTCTTCTATCTCCTCCTCCGTCAATGGCTCCTGCAAACACCAAGCATATGTGAATTTTTCTAAAAAGGAAATTAACCATAAAAAGAATTAAAAGACACTACAAAAATGCAATTTACTTCGAAACCACATGATTACTACTAAAAGCTTCAAAAAAAAAACTAAACCAAACGAAGAAATGGAACACGGAATTGCACAAAACATGTTAACCAAACCTACAGAGAAAAACGAACAATCGAAAGAGTAAAATCCCAATCACAAACAACAAAGAACAATACTTCGAACTAAAACTAACAAATTCGATCCAGAAGAGCAATCTCCACATTCTTCATCCGACAAACAAAATTGATTAAAAACAAAACAGAGAAAACCCAGATCGAATCAAGTCGGGAATCAACCTCAGGATGCAATCCTTCCCCTTCCTCTCCGTCTCCGCCTCCATCCTCCTCTTCTTCTTCGTCATTATCCTCATGGTCGGCAGAATTTTCAGAAGAATCATCCCCGACAAGCTCCTCGACGTCTTCCTGCACTGGTTCTTCAGTCTTCTTCTTCTCTTCTTCTTCCACCATCCCTCCCCTCCTGATAACTGTTACAAAAAGATCGATTTACACTGCTACGAAAGTGGAAGTACGGGTCAGAGTTGGACTCGGGAGGCAGGGAGGGGTTTAGTTTAGAGAAGAAATTTGGGGGAAATGGAGACGACGTCGTTTCGGCCCATGTTTGGTTTGGGCAAAGGGCAGTTACTATCATCCATTGTCGCAAGAAACCCGTACACTTTTTTTTTTTTTTTTTTTTTTTTTTTTTTTTTTTTTTTTTTTCCTTTTTAATTCGCATTTAAGAGGGGCGAGATTCAAATCTTTCATTTCATCCCCTACATTATCACATGTTCCTTTGAACTATGTAATTAGGGTGTATTACTGTAGACACGAGAGTTTATGTAAAATATAATTAGTAAGTAATTAGAAATTTTATTAGTAAAAAAATAATTATTATTTAGTAAAAATAATTATAGATTAAGATTAAGATAAGTAAAGAGTTTAATTAAAATTAAGAAAATTATAAAATTTAAAATGCGATTAAAGTGCATAATTATATTTCTAAAAATAGAAATGACAAATTATGTGGGACAAACGAAAATAGAAAATAAGGACAAATTATGTGGGACAAACGAAAATAGAAAATAAGGACAAATTATGTGGGGCGGATGAATTAATAATTATTTATAATAATATAAGGAAAAATGTATCAAATTATGATGTCTTCAAATAAAAAATATTGATGCAGCAAATATTAATATAATACTCCTTCCGTCCCAAAACTACAGTTTTAATTGGGTTGTGCATGGGATTTAAAGAATATTGATATTCTATTAGTAGTTGGTAAAAAGTATGGATAAAATTGTCCTTGTGAGTGTATTAATATAAAAAATAGTAACAATTGTGTAATAATTATTTTGTGACGGACAAAAATAGTAAATAAGATTATTATATTATAATGGATGGAGTATATAGTACATTATGTAACATATGTGTTAATACAGATAACTTGGTAATATGATGTGTATGATAATTTGCCAATTATTTCAATTAGTTTATTGTTAATATAATAGTATTAATTTGACCAAATAAGCAAATTAATTGCAACCATTTATTTATAATAATATGAGGAAAAATGTATTAAATTATACTCTTTCATCCGATAAAAGTACGGGCACATAAAATAAATAATAATAATATTTTAATGTTAAAATAAAATAGGTAGAAATAAAAATAAATAAATTAAAATGATTATAGTATGAAATTTATTAAATTATTGCTACAAAAGTAACAAATAAAAATTTATGGCAAGTTAATTATTAATATTTGTTAAAATAAAAATAATAAAATTACAAACCGATAGAATTGTAACGTAATTTTGACATTTACGAATTAAAAAATAAATGCAAAAAAATGTTATATGGGTGTGTTGAAAAACATATTTTTCAATAAATATATTTTTTCAAAATAATTAATATATTACACATATTCATTATTTTTATATTATTTATATATTTCTTATGTCTTATATAAAAAAATACATCTTCAAATTATTTTACTAAACAAACGAACCACAAGTATTTAGTTTTTAATATTGTTCGTTAATTAAAAAGAAGTTATTAAATATTTATTTATTTTTATATAATATCATGTTAAATATTTAAAATGTGCTCTTACTTTAATTAATAATAATAATAATAATAATAATAATAATAATAATAATAATAATAAAATTACCATAAAATTTAAAAATAATTAAACATTTTTTTTCATTACTAATTGTTTAAATTAACAATAATTATATTAACTTACAATCTTTCTATGTGTATTCTTTTGAAATTGTTATATTCATTTTATTATTTCCTTATATCTTATATTTCAATTATTTATTTCAATATTAGTATAAATATATTTAATTCATTATTTCTAACCAATTCTGCATCATTTTTATTGGAAATAAAGGATAATTTTAAAATTTGTAATATATGTATGACTATATTTTAAATATAAGTAAGAGGTCCGTTACCAAAAAGAAAAAAAAAAAAAATGTAAAGATGATAATTTGATTTAATATTTTTATACTCGTTTCGTCCGCTTCTAAAAGTTACATTTACCTTTTGCGTCATTGTAGTTAATATTAAAAATATTCTTATATTTTATATTTTATTTTACACATGTCATTACACTAATGAAAATATTTTTGTAATTTTTTATTAATTTGTACTATATTTTAATATAATAATTAATATTTAAAAATTAACACGCATAAAATAAATGAAACTTTTAGAGTCGAACGAAAGTAATATAATTTTTTTAATTATTATACGGACATTATTTATATTTAAAATAAAAATAACACACACTCAGGGTGTGTTTGTTTGGGGGTTTGGATTTTGAATTGGGATTTGAATAATAAAAATTTAGAATTTTGAATAGTTGTATGATGTGATATAAATAGGTGTTGATACGATGTTTTGAATGTAAAATTAATTTTTAGTATAATATAAAAAATGAAAAATAAATGTTTGATTTGATATTTTTGGGGAAAAAAAATAGTATGAATAGTGGATTGGAAATTCAATCCCCCAAACAAACACACCCCTATTGTATTTTCACTAATATTGGCCCAAAGACAACCTACATAGGTCTTGGCCCAAGATTCATAAATTTAAATTTTACATATAATATGACATGTTTGGTTGATAATTGCAAAGTCACTTATTTAAAATCTTATCGACACTTTCCCAATAAAGCATTTACAATTCATATGTTTTTTTAATGTGTGTTCTTCCACAAATTCCCCAAAATATATTTTCTTTAATATATTACACATATTTATTATTTTTATATACCTTTATTTTTGATGTGATGTTTAAAAAATAATAGTATTTTAATTATAATGGATAGATAAAAATAATGTAGTGATATTTTTGTTCTTATTTTTTGTATAAAAATAATAATGTGATGTAAAGTAAGAATATTTGTGAAAAAAAATAGGATATTTAATGAGATAATTATTTTATAATTGAACGTCCCAAAATATAAATATGTATACTTTCTATATGGACAGATGGAGTATTATTTACCTAATTTCCTATATCCCATATTAAAATGTATATATATATATCTTCAAACAACTTCACTAAATAAAAACACCTTTATACCTATGTTTACAACATTTTTACGTCCGCGTATTAGGTGAAAAAAGAAGATAAAATATTTTTTCTTTTTTTTTTTTCACATTAGAAAATTGAGGATGGCTTTGGACAGATCCGATGTTTGATCCAGATCCGATTCATGTATTTGGAATCGGGTTTAATTTTTCGGGTATCGGATTGGACATAGGTCGGATATTATATACTCTTATCGAGTTTGGACCGAATCTTGAGTCTAAGGGTGGACTCGTTTCAGATACGAAACTGATAATATATATAATACTCACTCCGTCTCATAAATATAGTCTTAATTCGGTTGGACAAGGGATTTAAAGAATATTAATATTGTATTGATAATTGGTAAAAAGTATGGATAAAAGACTTTTTTGCCATTGTGAGTATATTAGTGTAAAAAGTAGTAACAATTGTGTAATAAAAATGAAAAAGTATGGATAGTTTTACGGTGATATGGTTATTTATGGAAATAAGACTATTGTTTTGAGACGGACAAAAATGATAAACAAGACTATTGTATTGGGATAGGGAGAGTACATAAATTTTAATATATCGGGTCTGGACCTAAAATTGAATCTAATTTTAAATTAAAATTTAAGAATTGTGAAAAAATTTCGCAGATCCTGTCAAGTATTATTCGAAGTGGATTGATCAAATCCAAATATAGCCAAATTTAATTTGGGTCTTGGATCCAACAATGTATATTTGTGGTCGCATCTCGAGTCCGGCTGGATCCGAGCCATTGTCATCCTAAGAAAACTAAACAAACTCCACTCACTTTAAATATTTGGACTTCGTAACAATATATTAATGGGATTGGGCCATGGTTGGATTGGACTTGAACTAACCCATATTTATTGTTAAATATATATTCCATCCGTGGCTCTATTACCGTAGATACGAAAATTTAGGTAAAGTATATTAGTAAGCAATTAAAAAGTATACTATAAAAAATTATTATTATTCAGTAAAAATAATTATAGATTAAGATTAAGATAAGTAAATAATTTAATTAAAATTTAAAAAATTATAAAATTTAAAATGTGATTAAAATGGATAATCATATTTCCAAAAAATGTAAGAACAAGTTATCTGCGACGGACGAAAGTAGAAAATAAACGGAGGTAATGTTTTTTTTATTTGATGGGATTGTTAAATATATTTTGGGCCTTGGATCCATGGATAAGATGGGCCGAGCCCAATTGATAATTGATTGCTTAAATTCAATTGTTAGATAAGTGGAACTCGTAGTTTTTAGTTGATTCAATTAGCTGTTATCGTTTAACTGATTTGATTAGCCGATTCAATTAGTTGTTTGTAATTAAAGTGTTTGGTAAAATAATTGTTTAATATTAATTGTGTATATGTAAATGGATAATTTAGGATATTTATATTTTAACTTTTAAAATTTTTTAATTGTTTTTTTTTAATTTTAAAAATTTTAAAATTTTTGTTATTAGTTATTTGAAGTTAAGAATGTATTATAATTTTATTTTTCTTAATTAATTTTAGATATAAGAAAAATAATAGTAGTATATGTTTTTATTAAAAAATGTGAATATTTTTTTTTATTAAGAATGATATAAAATATAAAATAATAAGTTTTATATATATTTATTTATTATATTAATTATTGATTAATTTATTATATTTATAATTTTTAATAAATTTATTCTATTTTATTTAAAATTTTAATATAAAAATAAAATAATAATATTTATGTTTTTATTTTATTTTAATAAATATATATAGTTTACAAATAAAATTAATTATATATATATAAAAATTAATTAATTTAAATTTATAAAAATAAAATTATAGTTTAATAAATAATACTCCCTCCGTCCCACATAATTTGTCCCTATTTTCTATTTTCGTCCGTCTCACATAACTTGTCCATTCTATTTTTGGAAATATAATTATGCACTTTAATCGGATTTTAAATTTTAAATTTTATAATTTTCTTAATTTTAATTAAACTATTTACTTATCTTAATCTTAATTTAC